CAGTAACTTTTTAAAGGCGTACTGCTGTGACAAGACAATATCCCCGGCAAGCGTCCAAGATTGCGTGTCCAAGTAGTCGAGTGATCGGATTGTGGCAGCGTGTTTGCCTCGTCATCGTTGAAATCTCCTCGATGTACGCGAGTGAAATACTCGTCTCTTCGAGATATATCGATGTCCCCGTAATCAGACAAGATATTCTCCGAAGGAGTGGATATTTTGTCGCGTTGTTTCGCGATACGCGATTTTTCTGCACGGCGGCGGTTCGACTTGGTGTCGGCAACGCAAGCAGAGTGAAGAGCGGTGGTGGCTTCGAGGTGACCCTTGCAAAGGCGGTATCGCACGGTCGAACGTCCCGACGGCACTGCGTCGCTCGGTGTCGGCGCCGTTTCCGCACCCTCCTCCTCCCCCATCGAAGCAGAGGGAGGTTCGATTCTCCTCCAGGTTCGGAGAGTACCCTCTCCTCGGTTCCTCGAGCCCCACGACGAGGGTGAAAGGGTGTCCAGTGCGCGCGCCTAGCCGCGCATGTTCCGCGTGCGAGAGAGCTAGGCCTCGAGGGAGACTCGGCACGACGAAGAGAAACGAGGGAGCGTGGCTAGGCTGAAGAAGGGCGGAAGAGAAAGGGAGGAAAGTAACCCTCGACGTTGCCGAGGGCCAGCAGGACTGCGCTGCTGTTGCTGGTGTTGGTGCTGCTGGTGCTGCTGGTGCTGGTGCTGCTGCTGCTGCTGGTGCTGGTGCTGCTGCTGGTGGTGGTGGTGGTGGTGGTGCTGCTGCTGCTGCTGCTGCTGCTGCTGCCACCACCTCCACCGCCATCGCCACCGCCAACGATGTCGCTGCCGGCAGCACAAGGTGTCTACCGATACCGAGAATACTGGAATCGTTTTCGCGGACGGTTTTTTCTTTGCTTGGTCTCGTTTAGCTCCCGTTATCTTCGCCTCGTGCCGCTTCTCGTTTCTTTGCGCATCAAAAACGATCGAGGTACGACGAAACCGTAGGTGTGACGCAAACTGAAGGGTGACACATTGTCGAGGTCGTTGAAACTCGAATGACGCGCTTTCCAAGAATTTATGCCAGGAGTAGCTATGGATAAGCACAGTCTCCAACATTTTCTCAAGCTGATCAAACTATCGAAATTTTAGTTTCCGATAATTATTTGTATCGATCTCTGACGAGTTTTTGAATGATTCCAAGTTCTTCCATTGTATCGCTGTAAACTAATCGTACAATGTTCTTTCTCCCCCGTTGTAATCTCGCGGACGACAATATATAAGTTTTGTCGATATTTTGTATAGCATACGCTAGATCGTTGGAGTAATTTTGCTCGAACCGCTCGCGCTGGTCCAAATAAGAAAAAATATTATTCCTTAATTAAATTGAATCCTCTTGATTCGAATGGAACGCGATGTAAACATGTATTGTGTCGAGAATAGAATGATCGCAGAGTAAAATAATTACGTAATATCAATTGAATAAATTGGTTGTCGGGTGTTGCGCAACATGGGTGCAGTATCGGGCTAGTCTGTAGTCTGACGAGTATTAAAACTGGATCGGTGGTCAGCGATCGTCTCTCTGCGAGCGAGGGAAATTCCAAGAGTCGCGCGAAGCGACTCGAAGGGACCGCGAATCTTCTCGTCGACGAACCGTACAGACAAGGAGACCTGGATAAAGGTCGGCCAAGGTATCGCGTGACCAGCTCGAAATTTACAAATAGCTTCCGCTTTTCGATTGCGGATCTTTCGAGGGATCACCGAGCGAAATGGGCGGCAGCTATCTAATTGTAAGCGATGCTGACGTCGACTCAATGCAACCAAGTTGGCACAGTTGTGGATTAATTTCTTGCGGAATTTCGAAAAAGGAATTGTTCGGCGTTGAAGAAGATGGTGATTGGTGACGCAACCTGAAAGGAGACGCGTTGAAGAAAATGCCGGCTAACGTGGTAAAGCGATAACAGTAGCAATAGCAGCGGCAACAGCAGCAGCAGCAGCAGCAGCAGCAGCAGAGAGAGAGAGAGAGAGAGAGAGAGAGAGAAGCGAGTTTAAGCAGAAATTCGCCTGCGAAAGCGAAAAAGAGCGTCGCATCTATCGGATAGACGTTCCGCAGGGGCGGAACGTTGCAAAAGGGATCGTGCGACAAGTCGGAGAGGGAGGAACGGAGGGGCGTATTGATCCACCAGCTGCGCGTTCTCTCACCCTTCACCTCCGCTATTCTACCCACCTTTGCCTCTGCCACCCCCGCTAGCCGACTCCCCGAACGGCTCTCGGCCCGTTTCGCTTTTACTCGCTCTTTCCCTCGTCTCTAGCTGCTTTTCCTTTTCCACCTTGGCCGATATCGCTATAGCGATAGGAACGATGCCCTCGCGAGTTGTGCCGATGCGATGCGATGCGATGCGATGCGATGCGATGCAATGCGATGCGATGCGATGCGATGCGATGCGATGCGATGCGATGCGATGCGATGTCCACGAATATTTTGGTTGAACGAACGGGGCGCAGCCTCCACTCTATACCAAACACCCGATAAGACGTATCGGTAACTGAAATTCTGACTCGTTCGAATATCCTTCCACTTAATGATTCTTGCTTTACATTGCATTTGTATTTACATTTGCTTACACGAGTGCCTTTCTCGCTGCTTAATTTTCTGATAGTCGCATCAGCGATGCCGATAGTCTGTTTCTGTTCTAGCTCGGGTACCTCAGGATTGCCAAACCCGTACTGTAGCTACAATCGAACATAGCTACAGCCCCTGAGAGCGTCCAAGAGCGATCATCTCGAATTAATCCCATCGCTAGTCTGTCATCCTTGTTATCGTTCTTCCTTTCGCCTTTGTTTCCGTAGTCCTTCGTACAACGTGGAGCATTACAAAGCTTCTTTCCTCTGTTGCGCCGAGCTCCGGGTCTCGCTTTCTCCTCAGGGGCGTAGTACGCGTGCACGCAAACACCCCTTCTCTTTGTTTCCCTCTACCCTGGGGACCTTTCGCTATAGGGTGCACCGAATCGAACCGAATCGAATCGAATCGAATCGAATCGAATCGAATCGAATCGAATCGAATCGAATCGAATCGAACCGAACCGAACCGAACCGAGCCGAGCCGAGCCGAGCCGAGCTGAGCTAAGCAGATCTCTGCACCCCGAACATCCCCGTCGAATCCATGTGTGTTCTGTTCGCGTTCCTCGCAGCGATGGAACCGAATCGGAGTAACATCACGCTTCTCCGCCACCCTCCCCTTTTCTCCGGTGAATGTACGCTGTTCCTCGCGGATCCTGGACCAAAAACCAACCAGTGTAGATCGCACGAGTTCGTTGAACTGATCGCTCGATTGAAATTCTCTGAGCTTGTTTTGATCGCTTCGAATTATATACGCCAGAGAATCAATCGACCACTCCTACAGCCAGAACTAGTATTTTCGCGACTCGTGCTCCATCGATGGATTCTCTACCGTTTTCTTTCAAGCTGATTTTCCAAATGTATCAGCTTTCTCTGTTATTATTTTTCTCGGGACTCCTCTTCCAGCCGTTCGATCGCGTCGAGTCGCTAGCAATAGAAGCAAGCGAATTCGAAGAAAGGGAAAACGCGGCCAATTCTGCTGGGAGTGCCGATAATAGATGACGATTGGTAGTTGGCACACTGACGGTGATAGATGAACAAGATGGACGGAAACATCGGACGGGTTGGAATCTCGCGGGAGTCACGGGGTCGTTGTAGCTCCTACGAGTAGACAGGGACGACGAATCGACGCCAGTTACGAGTAAAGAAGGGTGGAAACGGAGAGAAAATAAGATATCGTCTAGTCTTTGCTTCTCGTCGGCGTCGATTCGATATCAACCAAATACGATACGTATTCGTTGTTTTCGTAAATCCTTACCGTTTGCTTTTCCTTTGGTTCGTCAAAGATCGCTTACCTTGAAAACTCGGGGATTTCGTAGATCGATGAATCGTGGGATGGACGGAATTTCGAAACGCTGATAACCGCCAAGTCTGCGCGCATAAATGTTTCGATAAAATGATCCATGTCATCGGTTAATTTGCGATGGGTATGATTACGACATCACCTCGCATCTCGCGTTCGCTTTCGTTACACTCGTCACAGTTTCTGATTTTTCCGTTAATTTGTCAGCGATACGTTAACGAGAGGCTGGTCTCGCATAGAGAAACCGGAACGAGGCGTTACGACGCGCGCGACGCGACGTGCTAAACGAACATACATACTCGATTAGCGATCATTTATTTAAAACTAAGATAAACATGAAAGGAAACGATAGTTGGTTTTCAAATTTGAAACCAGAAAATCCTATCTATCGCTATCTCGTAATATTGGTCCGTAGACGAGTGGACCTACTTTTTCGAGGTTCCAAGTTGTTGCGAAAAAGACTTACTGAACATCGATCGCGGTGAAAAACATCTTGTAACAGCTTAACAATGGAATCGCAACCAGCACGCAAGTTTGTATCGCCAAGAGCGGTATCACCTGAAACAAAAATAGAGGATCCTCGTGCGATATACCGAATTCGTTAAGGGTTTGTTTAGATGAAGCGACTTGGGCGCGACTGTGAGCTACCAGAGGTCCGTATATTCCGTCCACATGGAATCGCGCCAAAGTTGCCTCATCTGGACAAGGCATAATGAAAACATGTTTGCGAGACCCGTTACATTCGAGCTACGATAAGTTTTTTTCATTCGTCGAGTGATCGGAAATGAATTATATCGCGCTCGGACCAATTATACGCGATCGAAACTGCGTGCAAACATAGAGGGAAATATTTAGCCCGAGGGTGACCGAATTCGGAGGGCGTTTCGACGCGTTTGAAATATTCAAAAGGCTCTACCGAGGCTCGCTTAACGTAACACAACATAAACTGAAATATAAAGCTAAACGTAGAAAAGGAAACGGAAGGTTCGCGTAAGCTTCGAATCGGCCAATAAATTCCCCGGCGAAATCGTTTGAAATTCTGTCCAACGATCGGATAAGTGTTCTTCATTAGCGAATCCCTTTTTATGTTACAGCGCCAGCATGGAGGCGACGAATGGTGCGATCGAGCACGATTTCCACAATGCGTTGGTGCCCATAAACGGTAGCCACTCGGGTAGCTCCGGAAGGAGTACACCAAACGGAGGCGATCCGGCTCCAGGCAAACTGTTCGTCGGCGGCCTGTCTTGGCAGACTAGCAGCGAGAAGCTCAGGGAGTACTTTGGCATGTTTGGTACCGTCACCGATGTTCTCATCATGAAGGATCCGGTCACACAGGTCGGTCTGCTCGATGGAAGCTCTCTCAGCTCGTCCATCTTAAACGGTGGCACGTTTGCGAGCTTGTTTAGGAAACGTTGCCCGGTTTTAACATGTTATATGACTAGCAATTTTATGGTAACGTAACGTAACGTAAAGTAAAGAATAATGTTTTCGAGCAATGTTTTCGAAAGGGAAAGCTTGCGAACGAGCCATCGCTGTGATTAAATTCTCGTCCATTTCCTCTTCGATAGGTCAAATCGTTCGCATCGGTGTACCGGCCGAGCCGAAAAAGCTCTCCGAGTCGGGGGAGGGGGTAACGAAAACTAAAAATAAAAGAAAACAAGTCAAAACGCAATTCGCCTCGAGGAGATTCGATGCACCAGTTTCTTCCTTCCACTTTTGCACGAAACTTGACACAGTAGACCGTAGAGAAGAAGTTGTACTAATCGATGTAACTAATTGCTGAGACAGTATAAAGGATGTAGAAGTGTATTTTGGTACTTTACTGTATTAAAACATGTATTTAAAACGTAAAAGGTGGAAAAGAGGCAGAGGCTCGTTTCTAAAGATACGTACACATACACACACGTATCGGGATTCGAGGGGAATTTGAGTATAAGGTTTGCCAACTCTCTATACAGATATATATTTACGCGCACGCGCACGCGCGCGCGCGTATGTGTATGTATGTGTGTGTATACATTCGGTAATTTAACAATTGTAATTCTCATTTTGAGTCTTTATCGTATAATTCAAAGTCCTTGTCTCACGTAATCCTAGAATGTTTGTCTTACATTGGCTTGGACAGTCTTGCATGTAAACGGTAGTTTGGTAGTATTTAGTTAATTGTATATAAAAGGAAATATTCATTTATCTCTCTATATATATGTATATATATATATACATATATAAATATATATGCCACGGTATCAGTTTTACATAGATTAAAGAGTACGATAGGACGAAATAATAATGCAACGAACGCGACGGTAATTAGTCTGTTTGATGGAACGAGAGTTATCTGAAAAAGCGCGATAGGTAACGAAAGGATCGTAACTCGTAACGCGTTTATAGCGGCGCATGCATCTTGAAATTGGCGCGAAACTATTCGCTGGCAGTTAACTTGTTCGTAGCATCGCGTGTACCGATGATAACAGTTGTAAGTCGATGTCGAGAGGTTTGGGAGCATGACAATTCGGGCAACAACAAGTAGCGGAGAGGTTAACTGTCCGGCGATACGCTGCGCCAAAAGATCCATTGCAGCGTAAGCTATCGAGTAGGCAGGTTGTCGAGAAGCCAAGAGACACTCGGACGAGAGAGAGAGAGAGACAGAGCGAAAAAAAGAAAGATGGGAAAATTGAGAGAGTCGGTGGTTGTGCATCGTGGCCGTTCTGGCTTGTTCGGTTACAGCGTAGTCGCGGATTCGGCTTCATCACGTTCGCCGAGCCGGGTAGCGTGGAGAAGGTGCTCAAGTGTCCAATCCACACGTTGGATGGTAAGAAGATCGATCCGAAGCACGCAACGCCGAAGAACCGCGCGAAACAGGCGAATCGCACCAAAAAGATCTTTGTTGGCGGCGTCAGTCAGGATACCAGCAGCGACGAGGTAAAGGCCTACTTCAACCAGTTCGGTAAGGTCGAGGAGACGGTGATGCTGATGGATCAACAGACCAAGCGACATCGTGGTTTCGGATTCGTGACATTCGAGAACGAGGACGTGGTGGATCGCGTGTGCGAGATCCATTTTCATACGATCAAGAACAAGAAGGTCGAGTGTAAGAAGGCTCAGCCGAAGGAGGCGGTTCAGCCAGGCGCGTTGGCCTTGGGGAAAAGGGTTGTGTTGGGCGCGTTAGGCGTCCGACTAGCGCCTCAACCACCGCTTCCGGTCGCCGCAGCTTCCCAGTTAGTCGCCGCTCAAGCACAGGCCCAAGTACAAGCGGCTGCGGCCGCGGCCGCTGCAGCTCAGGTCCAGAACGCCGTCGCCGGATACGGGAAACTGTTTGCCAGTAGCTATCCTGCGCTTTCCGCTTACAGATACGCGCCGTACCCGATTCCAGCCGCGGCGGTGGCCGCTGCTGCGGCTGCGGCAGCTCCGGCTCCTGCACCCGCGCCGCCCTCGGCCGCTGCCGCGGCTGCTGCTGCTGCCGCCGCGACGCCTGCCGCCGCGGCTGCTGCCGCAGCTGCACCTGCCAATCCATATCAGGGCTATTCGCTTACCAACGTCGACATGTCCAGCTTTCAGGGCGTCGACTGGGGTTCCATGTACGGTATGGGCATGTACGTCTAAGTCTAACTCTACGTCTACGTCTACGTCTACGTCTACGTCTACGTCTACGTCTACGTCTAAGTCTAAGTCATTCGACTCATCGAAACCAACTCTGATCCGAGTACGTACAGAGCACACGCTTTCACGATTCTTGCGCGCGCTGGCCTATACGCATCTCCGCCTCTGCGTGCCCGCGCGCGTTATTAAATATATACATCTATACACACTGATACGTATTTATATACATAGATATATATATATACATGTCAGTTAACGCCATGGTAAAATCGATGACGAAATCACCGTAAATCCTTCCGAGCTTCCGATTCGTTCGTACCCTATAGTCTGTTAGTTTGTTCGGTGACTCCAAAATGCGTTTTAATAACGCATCTTCGAGACTCGTTTTCTGTAGAAACGAACCACTAGGCGGCAAATCACGGTACGTCTACGCACCCAAGATTCGCGTAGATGAGAAGAAATTGCGAAACGATCGAGAAAACATGGAAGCATGAAAGGACGGAAGCGAGCTCTAAAAGGATCAGAGTTGTGCGTAACGTCGAGCAGGGTAAGAGAACTTGCCCAGCCAGAAACAAAAGTCATTCTTCTTGCGTTTATTACTCATCGTTATCGCTTGTCACTTAATTTATTAGCGAGAGTGCATGTCCGTGTGCGCGCGAGAAAGAAAGAATGAGAGATCGGTACGTATTCGATCGTATCGCGTGTTTCGTTGCGATATCTTTTCATCCTTGGCTCGAGTAGTCCACGATTCATTTTACCCACGCGATTATTCCACGTGTTTTGCGTTTCCATCACACTTGGTTCCTAGTTAGATTAGCACACTCCCTGAAACGCGATACGGTGCGCGTTCTTTTCCGGCTTATCGCCGTGCCCAACCGTACATGATAACTAACTAATTACTTAATTAATTAAGCGATATTGGCGGCCGTAAACCACGACCGCCCTACTCTCAAGGATCTCGACCATAAGCAATAAAACAGGGGAGTTAGAGAGAAAAGAGAGAAAGCTTGAATGGGAGTGAGAGTGAGAGTGAGAGTGAGAGTGAGAGATAGCTCTGGACGTTGTGCCGTGAACCGAGCTTGCGAACTGAATCTACTAGCATTACTTTCGTTCTATCTTGGTTGTCCGCGGTTGCCCTCTTCCTTTAGATTTATGATGGCGTTGCTCGTAACCAAGCGGAATCACGCGCCTAAAAGAACGCGTCTGTTTCAATAGCCGTACCGCGCCGCGCCGCGCCGCGCCGCGCCGCGAGTCGGCGATCCCAACACGTCGCTCCTTTCTTCCTCTCCAGAGAACGAGGCAGATCTCCTTTTCGTCGCGCGATACTCCTCCGCCTCGATGAAAGTGCCAAACGAAAACGCTGGATCGATCCCTCGAGGGATCGTCGCCGAAACTCCTCCGTACCAGCTTCCATCGGCAGCGCGCAATCTTCTCCGTTTGTTCGTGGTTTCGCGTGTGCTTCCGCTCGGCTATTAGCTTCGCGACGACAACAACAGGTCGATCCTAAGGACACACTCCAATACATACACACACAGCTACACTTATACGTAAACACGCAGGATCGGTGACGCGACGATACACGCGTACACGGAGAGACACCATTATGGCGAACTCGTACGAAATATGTACAAGAAACGCGTCGTAATAGGAATAGCTATAGGTATACATATATTTTTCTCCGAGTAATGGACGACAATATTTACTCCATCGCGCGAATAGTAGACTCGTTAAAGTTTGAACGAGAACAACGCGCGATTAGAGCATGCAAAACAGAGACAAACGCGTTTTTCATGAATGATACTCACGTTTCTAAGTATAGTTTGATAGTCGCGAGCATAGCGACTACGAAAGCGACTGCGGTAACAAGTACCCAAGATCGAGATTAGCTCAGCGTTACGTTAAGCGCGCCTAGTTTGTAAGTTTGAAGCAGGTTTAAGCTAGACTTTTAAGGCGTTCGTGACAAAACAAAGTCGATACTTAATTTATACGAATTCGCGCGCGCGTCACGCTCCTCTCGTTTTCGGCGATAAAACACTACCGAGATGGCTGCCGTTTCCGAGACATCGATCTTTCGCTATTTTCCTCTCGCAATCTTGCCAATTCTCGCCATCTTGCTTTTCAAGTATCGATCCTTGTCGTCTGAACAACCTATCCTTCTGTTTTTCTTTCGGTTTTCTTCTTTTGCTACCTTTCTTTATTTTCCTTTTCTTTTATTTTTTTTTCACGTAACCGCGATTCCAAGTACGATTCACGGGCGTGAAAGAGTACGAGCGTATCAGTTCGATTGGCGTTTCGTTTATTTATTTGTATATCGAGAATTTCGATTAGCCTATTTACAGAAAGTAAGTCGAACGATCGAAAGCATTTCGATGGAAATGCGAAAGATCGACGAACAAAGGGCAGCGAAGCGAAGCGTTTTAGAAGAGAAGTCGATAATTAATAAAATGTACGTAGTCGTCGATGGCGAGAAGAAGGTGTCGCGACGATCCGTGCGAGAAATTTCGAGCAATAAGCGATATCCACCGAGACCTTCGAGTTGTACCGTTTACGTTTAATGATTGCGATAAGCGAGAGGAGAGACATAAAAAACAAAGGAAAACAAAAAAAAAAAGAAGACGTACGATAATATGCGAATGCGCGAAAGCCTCGCTGTTCGCTGTTCGCTGTTTGCTGTTCGCTGTTCGCTGTTTGACGAACAGACAGCAAGGAAGAAGTTTCTTCCAAACAACAAGTAATATTCTTTAGTGATATACATCTTAATATACTTACTTAACGTATATCCTAATCTTAACGACGACAAAGCTCGCGAGTGATATTTATGACTTACACGTAAGATGATATTTAGAATGATAAGTGGAAAGAAAGAAAGAAAGAAAGAAAGAAAGAAAGAAAGAAAGAAAGAAAGAGTAAGCGATGACAAGTACGCCTTAAAAGAACCGCGAGAAGCAAAAACGTAAGCACGCGTGTGCGGTGAATCTAGCGTGAGACGATAATTCGACTAGAGATACCGCTTGGTGCAAACCGAATTTTATTTTTCGCGGTTTGCGTACTCGATAAACGGTGCGTACTTAAAGCTAACCTTGAGGACACCCGATATCGATGTATCCTGGCCTGTCCGCTCCGCATATCCTATCGATCTTTTACTAGAGTACTTTCTTTCCCCGACTAGTATATCGTCATCCCTATCGCGGCGTTACACGAACGAGATGTTGAGGATTTTTTTCTTTTTTTCACGGTATGCTAATAATGGTATTTTCGCTCGAACAGACTCGAGTTAATCGTGTCCTCTTCGTCTTGGCGCGTTCTCGTCACCAAAAGATTCGCCGATGCATACTGCGCGAGCCCAAGCAACGAATAACAAATAAACGGAAGGATGCGGCATACGATTCGATGAACAAATGGCAACTTTCGATCGTGTCGATGGATTTTTTTGATTATATCTCTGGAATGACCTTTGATCGTGTATATCCTCTTCGCCAACATTTATCCCGTTTCCGTAACCTCTTGAAATTCCTTTAATATATCTTTGCAAATGATTATGTATTTTAAACGCGACACACAAAACGCATACACAAAACGCTCAGCACCCCTCACACATACACAAATATGTAGACACAGTACATATATGCAAAGACACATTGCGAATGTCGAGAGTAATTGTTAGCGTAGCTAGTATATTTTGATGAGCGCTAACCACCCATTAGTTGAGAATGATCAGTAGGTGAAGCATGCTGGTTGAAATATCTTTTAGAGCCGGTTATCCTCCATTGTTTCGTCACACCGCATTCGTCGTTTCTTCGTATAACTTGAAAGCACACAGTGTCTCGCTGCTCTGTCTTCTTGCTAACTTTTAACGCGACGCGCCAAGGGTATATTCGATTGAACATTTTTCTTTTTTCCACATCTTTTCCTTTTCTTTTATTTTAATTAGTTTTTCGTTCTTTCGTTCGTTTATTTCCTCGATTACATTTTTTCTTTTTCATGGTTCAAAGTGTTTGTAGCGTGCAGCACTCGTCCGTTTTTACATTTCATGATTTACTTGTTCGGGAAAAAGACAACGGTTAATTATTTACGTCGACTGTCGACGATTCTCCAAGCAATACGCGTCGTGCCGTTTACGACATCCCAGTCGATCGTAACTTTGTGCCTTGTCTTACCGTTACTTGGTATTATTATCATTATCATTATCATTATTGTTATGATTATTATTATTATTATTATGATTATTATTATTATTATTATTAGCGATTATTATTAGCGATTATCGTCGATCGATTTACTCGACTTTCTCGTCAACCCCGCGTATACGTTTCGCAATTACCGAAACATCGTTGCTCTTCATCTTTCTGGTCAGCGATTATATGTATACAAATTAGGCTCAGCCTCGAGCGCAGCGAAGGTCGCAATGGGTTTGCACAAATTCGAAATTCTCGTTGCAGAGTTTCGTTCCCTCTCCCTCTCCTTCTCTTATCCCGTATCATATATACATATATATATTTTTTTTTTGTTTTTTTTTTTATTTTGTTTAGCCTTATATTGTCTTCTGTCTATTTTCCTATCTGTCTGTATGTACGTGAGAGTGTGTTTTCGTGTTGCCATAAGCGTTGAGGGATATAGCCGTGCAACGAGCATCGTCCAACGATCGTGTCTCGAGAAAGTTTGCGCGAACCTGTTCGCTACCCGCTCGAGCGAGGCGGATTCGTCAATACCCAAAGGGAAACGAATCGGACTCTGAGACCGCCGCGCGTCCGCGTCCGCGCCCACTCGCGTCCACTCTATATTTTAGTTGGCCATGTAGAAGAATATTTTGCTCGACGAAACGTACTTAGAAATCGCAATCTATTCATCTCTGACCTTACGATTGTTCGGAGATTGTCTATCGACGGAAGTTTTATTCATTGCCTCGTCTTTTTTCATAAGATTCTTTTGTCGAAGGAATCTTCGAACAACCGACAATGCGGTGTTTTACGATTATTAATATAGACAAAGTAGCGATTTCAACTTAACATTAATTTTTCGAGCATTATTTTCTTCCTTGATGCACCACTCTTCGACGCGAAAAATTTCTTGAAAAACGGACGCGTGCACGTACATTTATTTCCATGATCATCGGCCGTAAACTAGAGAGCGAATGAAAGAGACGGGAGAGAGAGAGAGAGAGAGAGAGAGAGCACAACTTAGCAGGAATACGCGGGGCGGCGAACACGAAAAACGACAAGTATGACATAGTTTAGTTCGATGCTTAGATGAGTTGCCAATAAAGTAGTTGGTTTCAAACTTGTAGCTAACCTGTATATTGTGTACCTATTTTGTATACTCTGACCAGCTCCCGTTCGTCCTATGCTGATCCCCTCCTTTTTTTCGTAACAAACACTTTTCCTTCCGTATACATATATATATATATATATCCTCGCTAACTGTATTTCTTTCGTATTTTTATCTCTGGCAAAAGTAATTTATCTGTGTTTTTCATTTTGGTGCTGTGTAATACTACGCTATTCTCTCGCTCATTCATATACCCGTATATATGCATTGTTTATGTTTCCTCGTATACCCCACTCAACTTGGATCTAAAGTGTTTATATTGTATCTTTTGTACGAATCGTGATACACGCTATTCTAGAGCGTATATCGATTATTTTTCCATTTATTTCTTCTTCTACTCTGTTTCATTTTTTTCTTTCTTTTCTTCCTCTCCTTTTTTATGTTATTTTATGTGAAAAAAATTTGTTTGCAACTTTTTCATTCGTCAGCGGTGTCGAAGGTTGGCGCAGCCGTTGGTGCCGGAGGCGCGCCACCGCGGGCGCATCGCTAATTGGCTGATTAATATTAAGCTGTAATTAGCCTCGTTAACCCCGGTGGGCACTCGTTTCGCGACGCTCTCTGATTGGTCGGAACACGGCCCCTGCGTGCCCTTCGGCTCAAAGCCAGCGCGCGCCGCGCATCGAGGACCTTTCTCGCGCGATTCCAATCGTATCTCGCGTCGTTTACGAATCGCCGATAACAAATAACGAGTTTCGTCTAATCTCGGTAAAAGGTCAAAAGTCTGCTCGCCAACTAGATCTACATGTAGTCTCGTCAAGTTTCGAACGCGCGACTAGGATTTAATCGCGAAACAAACAAGCTGAGAAAGGTGTGACACGAATCGAAATACGAAAAGGTCTTGGACACACCGAACAGAGAAGCGGATAACGGGTTGAAACATTCCATTAAATCATCAAGAAACAAACCTCTTTGTTTCGTGTTCTCAACTACGTACGATACGATACGATACATAGAAACAAAGCGGTTTCCGATGAACGCGTTAACGGGAAAAATGGCCATTCCTATCGAAAGGAAGGACGGTGTGCACTCCGCCGGCACTCATAGGCAAAACTCTTTTCTAACATTTCTTCCTCTTTCCTGTCGCCCCATGTTGCTTCTTAAGCGGTCCAAGACAACCAGAGGAATTGTTGTAGCGCATGCATTTTAGCTAGAGTATCCCAGGCGCGCTCTAACCAGCAAGTAAGAGTAAATTTTAAAATTAAATTTCGATATGTACACAGTTTTTTCTCCGCCAAGACCCAACAGGCTCCTTCTTTCGCGGTCGCTCAATCTTTTTGCTGCCAAAGTGAACGACGATTCGCAATTTTAACTTTGATTTACCCTGGAATATATAATACGATAATATAATATACCTACGTCTTGTCGAACTTTGGCAGTTGAAAGATGAGAATTTTGAGCAATCGATGGAAGAATCGTTACTTGGTTTTCCCATTCCTCCGATATCCCGAAGAGTACGAAGGCTCGGCTTACCACCTCTACGTCCTTTTAACCTTTTGCGAATGGACCGGTAATTTATTAATTTCGATCGAACAACAAAATTAACCACATGGAACGATGTTATTATCGAATATTGAAAAGTCGATTGATGGCGTACGAGGCAAACAAACCCGCTGACCTGCCGAACAACTAGAGTCCAAGCGCAAAGGATTGACGAGACAAGTGTGTGCGTTTTGCCGCTTGCCGATTTCAGAGCCGTTCGGTTGCCGATAAAAGAATAGCTGACCGCGACTAGCCTGATCGGATTGCGATCGAATCCAACAGAATCTGAACAGACTTTACTCGATCCAAAAACCCTTTTTGCACGTACGCTCGATCAAAGGAACGAGCAAAGACACCTGGCATCGCAGCACGGAGAAAGATATGTTCCGGTTTCCAGAAATTCGCGGGAATCGATCGCGAGAGACCTCTCCGAATTACGTAGATCGAGAGAGATTTAAAAATTGTTCGCTAGAGACGCGAAAACCTTGCCTTCGAAACGATTCGAGATGAATAGTTGACGATCATAGGGATCGGTGTACATATCGTCGAATTGTCATAGTTTGGTACGAGTTGTACAATAGGTTGTAGATGGTTTTGTACGTAGGTTGCGCGCTGTGATTCCTCTCGTGTTGTGTCGTTGTTCTCGCGAAAACGAGCAGCAAGAAAAACGTAATACGATATAATAAATGTAAGAGACATTTTTTTCGCGTAGCTGGACCGATTCGATCAACGTTTAACTAGTCTCGCGTGAGCAATCAGAATTCTTTCAGCTGCATCGAGCGAAGCGTAAGACATATCGATAACCTCCGACATATCATTTTACGATTTATCAAGATTTCAGTCGACTCGAGTCGACTATAATATTTCGCGATTTCGTACCGACACGACGGAAAACGGAAAACGGAAAAGATACGCGTTCGTTTCGTTCTGCTTTCTCCGTGCAGTTGGGGGCGCCACTCTTTCCTTAGTTTTACGATCTTCGATTCGACAGAACCCGAGTGCCTTATTCGATCTCCATGTGCCCCCATCGTGTATTCCCAACCCCGAGACCAAACACCCTTCGAAATTCGAACGAAAATATCTCAACAACTAAAGAAACGATACACAGAGATACAGAGAGTGAAAAATGTAAGAGAAAAAGATAAGCAAGACAGCGAAAAGAAAAACAGCAACTATTCCGATGCATATTAATTCCCATTTAATAGGTAGAGTAGAGTTGAGAAGGTTGATCGCTAGAGAAGGCAAGAGAACCGCTACCACGAATTCGGATCCGAGACCTGCCGACCATCGCGACTGAGAAACAGGTAAGACAACTTTCTTCTTTTTTCTCTCTCTTTTCTACCCTTATGTACTCGATGTACAGAGTGGTTTAACAGGCATCTTGGTACAGCCAAACAAAATTTAAAGAAAAATTTTCGATTCGATTCGATTCGATTCGGCCAACTGTTTCCGACTGTACCACGAGGTTTCATCCACCCTGTGTAAATAGGACACCTATACAAATTATCCTCTTATACATGTACACGCATCGTTCCGTAGATTTTTACATAATTAGATGCGATAGACGTTGCGAGATTTAGCGTGTTAGTTGCGAGCATTGGGTACCACCGCTTTCGTGGTATAGAGGACCGACGAATCATATGTGTATCACCCTACCGCACGCATCATAATACGTAGTAAATGTTGGTAGTTGTTACTAGCAGAGCTAAGATTTGTCGATGGTGTAGGCGTAGTATCATAATTCCACGCATAATACAGACATTTTTTTGAGCAATGCAGGAAAGCCTCGGGATCGAGAAAACTGCTGCTTCCTAACAATATCTTTTTCCTTTTGGTACGCAAACAGATCGTGTCGTGTTGCGTTGCTTATTTTACGTCACACTTTCTATTCTCTATTTTCTATTTTCTATTTTCTATTTTCTATTTTCAAGTTGTAGTCGTATTCTCGCTTTAATTCTTTTTTAATAACACTCTCGACCGATACGATCAAGTCGATCGAGATCTTGCAACATCTTTTTGTCTCTCGGCCGCGACACTGGATACGTAATACGATGTTACGCTTCGTTTACGAGTTTTTCACGCGGAAACGTTCAAATTGATAAGCGATAGCGTCTTCTTCTTTTTCTCTCTTCCCGAAGTTTTCTTGTTAACCAAACTTTGAAATCAACGAGAATCGAATTACATCGTATTTCATTTCGTCCTCTCGCCTCGTAACGTGCCTCTTGCATCGGGAATTGATCACCGAATGAATCTCTTTCGGCATATTTCTCGTTTATCTCGAGCTTAGGCGATGATTGAAACGTCCCCGTCGCGACGTTTCCACATGGAAGGCTACGTGCCAACGATATCAAACTTGCAATAGAAAAGAGCTGCATCGTGCATGAGTAATGATTTTTACCTGTATTACTAACACGTTTCCGAACGATTATCTCGTATTGGTAAATAAAGAAACGGCTCGAAAGTTGAAAGTCCAAAAAGAATCATGGAAATTGAAAGTGTTGGGAAACATTGCTCGATCAAAAATCTCGAATACAGGCGCGAGTCGTTGTTTGCGCGACCGCGACCACGACCGCGACCGCGACCGATCTACCTATATCGTATAATCGAGCGTTTTTTATTTCACAGTAGATGCGGTGAATTAGCAAACGTGATACGAGACAGTCGTGCCGTAAAGAGGCAAAGCGAGGCCTTACGTAGTCGCATGTGTGATTTGAACGGTAACAGAAACAGAGTGAAACAAGTATACGTATAACGTTGTAAATGTTGATCTTTGTAATGGTTCTCACCACTACTGCCATCACCGCCACCCGCCACCCGCCACCCGCCACCCGCAACCAAAAACCTTCACTTCCACCGTCATCGCCTTCATCGACGACAGAGATATTTCGTAGGTAACGGTAGTTTGAAATATCCGTGTAAAAACGAGTTGCTTTAAAGATATAGTGCGCTCGAAAATCGGCTTTTACGGGCAAACTCTCCGCACTCGAGAACAACCGAGTCCGATTCAAATTCTACGTTATACAAACTTACCTACACGGAAAATCTAACGAAACGACCCAACGATCGTTCTCGTTTATCGACAAGTTGGTAGGAGAATAGACCTACTCTTCGGAGAGCTTGCCTCTAATAAGGCAACACAAGACGAAATATGGAAAAGACCAGCCGATGATTTTTCATTCGTCTTCGAGGCATTCTTTCGATATGGGACCCGCGCGTTTTTCGTAGCGCTTTTTTAAAGCCGGTAGGCGAGTCCGGCGTCTTGTTCTTCCAGTATGTGTATACATATAAATATAAATATAAAAAAATATATATATATATACATATATATTAATAATACAAATATACGTATATAACGAGTGTACGATCAATATAGACGGCGATCGAACCGAGCGTATGCTAGAAAGGTGATTTTCTAAAAGGAAAAAAAACGTTCGACTCATATTTATACGAAAAGTAGTGGTTCGTCGCATGACACATGGTTCAATTATGTCAAGTCTTAACCGTGTTCCGAGTAATTAATTAGATTTCCCTACATTTTAACTGTGATCGCATTAATCATGGGAAATGACGTTTAATAAAATGAATACTGCGCGAAAGCTTAATTCGAAAGGAATCGCAACATTCGCGAGCTCTTTTTCCGCAATGTTCGTTCGCAACCGTTCGCCGATAGGCCGATGGACGCATGAACGCAGACTAGAGCGTGTTCGGTGATTTAGCTTGATCGTCTGATCTAGAAAGAATAACTACGTAGCTATATCGTAGTTTGTTTGTCCTGTTGATTTACAAACCGATAAAACCTTACGTCGATATGATCGACGGCCGAATCAAGTTTACGTCTTCCGGTGGATAATCAAAAAAATCTGTTTTTCAAGAGCCACCCCTACACTTGATTTACATTTTCTAGTTTCGTCAGGTTTGAAAAAGTTAGTTGATCGCGGTTTGGAAAATCGTATCATATGGACGATCGATGCGATCTGAACACGTTTCAAACGGAATAGAGAAAAGGCTAATTTCTAAATGAGTTTTCTAAAAAAGAAAAAAAGAAGAAAAAGAAGAAGAAGAAGGAAGAAACGAAAATAGAAAAAAAAAATGGTTAATTCTTAAATTGAAATACTTGTAATTTCTCGAATAGAAGAACGAACCTCTCGATCCCGCGGTACTGCGATACATCGACGATATATATCTCTGTACATATATATATGTATATATACTGGATTTTTATAAAGTTTACGGAACGATAGAACATCGAACGCGAAATGTAGAGAAATTTTTAACTTAATAAATGTACGTTCTTTTAACGTAACGAGTTGTATCGAGCCGTAAACTTTGACCTACACCTTGGTAACTCGTTTGCGTACCTGTGTCGCGGACAAGGTATCGCATATATTTTTTGAATCTAATCCTGGCTGTTTTCGAAAGAAGATAAGAACGTGCGAAATACATAGATACGGAGAGCAAGCGGAAAGAGAAAGCGTCTCGAGTAGTGAAAACGCGAAAACGTTGCTCGCGACGCGACGCGACGCGACGCCGCTGCCGACGCTGACGCTAAGGCTGACGCTGAGGCGTCGGCAGCAACCAGCAGCATCGGCTGTATTTGTTGGTTTCGGCTGTCAACACCGTGACTGGCGTCATCGAATCACTTTGTTTTCGTTTTCATTGCGAGTGTCGCGAGTCGTAAGCAACGCGATCGCCTATACGAGAGATGATTGATCGTCGAGCGATAAATTAGACACCGCGCGCGTACATGTAATCAGCTCGAATCCACGCGATTGCCTTTTAAAGTGTACGATCGCGAGTAGTCGACATCTCGGGTAGGTAGTTGCGAGTATCTTTCAACGGAATCAAATCGTTTCCGCGAGTCGCTCTATTTATTCGGCCGCGTACTTGACAGAAACAGCGAGAAATTGAAGCGTATCGATTGAAATCGACGATATCGTTTCCCCGTAAAACTGAACGAATAACGGATCTAAAAGATAACCGGATGAAATGCCCGTTGATTTCGACGATACGAGTGATTGATTGGCTCGAGTAAACTAAATTCGATTAACGATACGAGACAATTCTGCCACGAGAGGACACTTTGCAACCTCGAGAACGTTGAAAAAGTACAAACCGGATAAACGGTGAACTGAATCGACCAGATATAGTGTGAGAAATAGAGAGATAGACGATTACGATATCTCCGCGTAGCGTGACTGACAAACAAATCGAGAACGAGTTCCGTTTTCACAGGACCTCGTCGATCGCATAGATGACGTCGGAGAGCATCGACGAGGACTGGCCAAACACGGGACTCTTTTCTCCTGTTTAACGTGTAGCCAGTAGCGATGTATCTTGCGTGATAATTGCAGCTAATCGATATCCCAGATATCGTTAGCTGTATACGACATGTATTAATATTAATTACTACGTACTGTCCAATATATTCTTTCGTAAAATGTGCCATTTTTCGTCATCGTCATCGTCATTCTTATTCTCATTCTCATTCTCATTCTCATTCTCATTCTCATTCTCATTCTCATTCTCATGCTCATGCTGATGCTCATGCTCATGCTCATGTTCATGTTCATCCTCATTGTTGTTCTTATACTTGTTACCTTATCGTTTTATTTATTTTATTTATTTTACAGACAGTTAATTTTTAACTTGTTAGGGTACATCCAGACTAGAAACTGACCGCGTCTCGAACAAACAACCTACGGGTACGATCGAGGTGATTCGTCTCGCCGGCGTCGTTTGATTCGTGGTCAGACTCTGATAATCTTTGGATTTACCTCTAGACGGTTAGCAACGTTATTGTACGTGTATACGATATCGAAATTTGTATCTGTACTTTTGCGTACTTTTCCTGTTCTCTGGACAAAGCTTCGACGTAGCGCAATCTATTTCACCCTGTAAACATTCCCGCGATCGGTCCACGATTTACTGACTTTCCAATCGAATCTAATCATCGAATGCGAAATTTCGACTCGTTCATCTCGCATCTCGTACCTCGTTTCTCTCGTTGGTTCATTTACGAGAACAATTTGCACGATTACTTGATGCTGTAACTATATATATTTTTTTCCATAGGATAAACGATGCTTGCAAACGATCGATAACACCGCATTTCTTTATTGGAAAGATCACGAAATCGTAGCCACGTAGGTTAACCCGAATTCTGCAATGCAACTATTTAGTATAGTCAGCTAGATAGACAGTCGAATAGTAAACACGATGTGTAGAAAATTTACTTACGTAATTAATTACTTACTCCGATTTCATGGGTAAAAGGTAAAAGAGTAAAAGTACCAAGTGAGTTTTGATTAATTAGTAAAGAGATGCGAGGCAAAGCTGCGAATTAGAGAGTATATACGTGCGCGCGCGCGCGTGCGTGCGTGCGTGCGTGCGTGCGTAAGGGCGTGAGTGCGACCACGCCATTCGTTTGTGCGTGTGTAAGGGTGAGAAATAGATGTGGCGAAAGGATACACGAGACGGAGAGAAAAGGAGAAACGGAAGAAATAATTACCAACGTACTTACTGCAGGTAAACTGGTTACTGTACCTGTTGTTGTTGAAAACATTAAAAACACTCTTATTCCATGCTAACGCCGCTTAACGGTATCTCTTATTTTCATCCCTTTCCATAGACTGTTTGATAAACGAAGGTTGTCGACGGATCACGATGAACATTTTACTCGACAGGTTAATCGGTTGGCAGTCATCGTGATCGATTTTGGTTGCGAAACGATATTACGAATCAGAAATCGGAACTCGTCGAAGAAATCGAATTTGTTTCGTGGAACCGAGAATATCGTAACATTTGGACATAACACGTAGTACAACTTTCATGTTTTTACAAATGATCCTAACAAAGAATCGCCGATCCTTTTTTCAATCGCACCAAACTCGATCGCCGGCAAATTTTGTCACGCGTTCAAAAGAATACAACGATCACGCGGACATTAGGTCTTTTGTTTACGGTGAATGCAGTTGAAACAAAGGATGAGACGACACTATCGACAAACGAATATAAAAACCGAGGCACTTGAATTATCATTTTTCAATTTCTTTTGTTGTTGTTGTTGTTGGTGTTATTATTATTATTATTATTATTACAGTCATCGTCATCGTCGTCATTCTTCGACGCAAAGATTGACGAATTCTGAAATAAATCGAGCAACACTAGAATTGTAAACCTGTAGCGAAGTATTTTAATCAAGACGCGGTATCACACACCCCTCCACACTATTTAAACATACCTACTTCTTCTGGTAAATTAATGGTTATTTTGGTAATTATACGTGTAGTGTAAATTACGTGTCACGGTGCAATTATCGATTTTTCGATGCATCGGGTGCGCGCATCTGTACATATTCCTATATATACACACCTACATCATAAATATTAGTATTTCTTTGTAGTAGTTTATTTGCCCTTTGTATACGTCGTTGGTCGTAACCTTTGAATCTTTGTTACTTTTAAACCATCTATCCTGAAATCTATCAAGTATAATTTACGTGACACGAATTAAACGGCCAACGGCGTACATCGTAGGAATATGGATTTTTCCGTTCCTTCCTCATTTCCTCGGAGCTGTTTCGAACAAAGGTACTGCCAGGCAAAATGTAATTTTAAAAAGCATGAAGAGAGAGTATATTTAACTTTCTATCCATAGGGATAACGAATAGTACAAGTGAACACATACGATGACTTCTAAGAAAAGAGAGAAAAGAAGAGACACGGTATCTCGGTTGTTTCGCAACGAAAGGATTGAAAGCTGGAGGTGAGTGACAATAAAGGGCTATTATTTTTCCACACTCGTTTAGTCCCAGTGATTCTTATTTCTCGGAGATTTTCTGACGCACCGTTACTCGTCTAACGAGAACTGAGAACATTGTATTTGTTAAAAAGTGAAAAAGTACATATGTACACACGCAAACAAACAGACAGACAGACAGACAGAACAGACAGACACACGCACACATATACGCGATCTAGTACATCAAATAATCAAAGATACAAATTCTACTATCTGTAGCGTATATTTTACCGATTGTTGCGAGATACACGACAACAGGGTTCTGCATCGAAAATTGTGTACTTGGAATGTTATTAGTTAATATGTGATAGAGATGATGTAAGACAAAGCATTCCATAAACTTTATCGTACTTTGTTTGTTTCGACGTGTTTCTTCGATACAGAGTAGTTTGTTCAAGTATGCGAAAAATGTAGGTTTTACTTGAATTCGACGACAAGCGAACCGTATAATCTTTAAGGTGTATTGTTTGGTGGTTGGTGCAAGAGTAGTGAAACATTTTATTCTGAAATATGGAACGTTGAATTTGAAGAAGTCGGTTTTTTATTCGATCGGCAATCGATACTTTTTGGACGACCGCGATCGTTTGAATGTATCAAATGGAAACGAAACGAAACGAAACGAAACGAAACGAAACGAATCGAATCGACGAAATGTCCCATCGTCGTAAATTAATATATCGTCAATCGAATAAGAAACCATTTCGATAGATATTTCAGACTGTTTAATAGCGATACGCGTGTGCGTGTGCATGGAGCTTTCGTTGAACTTCGGACAAGGAATAAAAATGTTCCTTCTTTCGCGATCATGTCTTTTCTTGAATTTTCGTTTGCGAAGAAAATATTCGTGTAATTGATTCATTTGAAAAATCGCTCCATGAATACGCAACGCCCATGTTAAGCCAATTAATTGACATTTCCATGACAAACCCGTGACCCTTGAATGATCAATTGTTTCGCAGCATCGTAGAAACGTAGTTTCCTTTCACTTTCGAAACAACTTACACTCTTTTAGACATAGTGGCAGAGCTGACGTAACTGATAATAATTAGAGTCTGCGTAGAGAGATATACGTATGATACATACGTATATTTTTGTCGAGAATTTCGACGATGGTAAACCTGTAGGAAGTAACAGAAGGGGAACGCCAGGCCGGTGTTTACCCGTTTTTGCAACGAATTTCCAAGAACGAGCGTATTATCGATGAAAAGTGAAGAATGTATGTAGAATGCCTGGCCTGGATAAATTGGCACATCTTTCGACATCGATCCTGTATCGTCAAACAATAGAAGGAAAAGAAAGTTTGTACGTTCCGTCGATCGTCACTGGGACATGGTCGAGTATTGGTTGAGACGTCTCTTTATAAATGTTTGTTGGTTGCTCCGACGAGCAAGATCGATCTAGAAAGGGCGGTCAACTTATCCCAGCAGCCCGTCCCGTCGCCTCGATCAACGACGATGTGGCCTAATCGAACGAGAACAAACAATTACGTAACACGTACGAAATTTTTGATGAAATGGTACTTGTTTCTCCGCGAAAACGATCGAGATAAAAGCCAGTTGAAGGAATCCTAAACAGACGATACGAATCGTTTACGAAATGCTTTCTTGCAACTCGGAATTTTGCCTGCGACGAACAAAAACTCAACATTTTCCAGGAAGCCACACCAAGGACCGAGGGTTAAAGATTAAACAATCTCCCGATAAAATGTTGCAACGATCATTTCTCGATGAATCGCGATAAGACAAGTTTTGTTAGGGTAGCGATCGGCATCCAAGCTATAGAACGAAAAGATCGTTATACAGGAAACGTCGATAAGAGAGCTTTGTAATCTATGACGCAAGCTATCGGACGATTCCGATCGCGAATTTTACAGGTACGCCGAGCGCGAAAACGATCGATGAGTCGGTTTATCGCCTCGGCGTTGTTTAATGTTCACACGAACGAAGCTAGGGGCATTAGAAAGTCTAGGGATAAGTGCTTTTCTATTTCTACGTTTAACCGAGTACAAAAACTGTATATACTGTGTATTATTATATGTATATGTACAAGTGTAAGACATGTAAAAAACGTAAGAGACGTAATCGACGATTTCGTCCATTTTCGATCCCAGTTCTAGTCACGTTAAGCTTCTTTTCGACGCCGACGCGTACCTTGCGTACGACACGCGAACCAAAATACATACACTCGCGAACCACTGAAAACGGATTACTTTTAAAAGGCGCATCCCGCGTTACGATAACGAGCTGCACACGCGGAAACCACCTGGCTTTAGGAATCGAGAATCTCGCGTTGCATCACGGCCACGGCCACGGCATACATTTCATCGGTAGCAAATTCGAGCGAAACTCGTAGCATTTCAGAGGACACCGGGGACCTTTTTTTCAATAAAAAAAATCGTTAGAAACCGAGAGAGAAGAAAAGGAAGGATACGCGACAGGCTCTTTGGCACTCTGGGACGAGCGAAGAAACGAAAAACCAGCAGTCGAGTTAATCAGCAGGGTGAAATAAAAGAGTACCGACTGTATTTATTTATGAACTGTAACAATTACTTGTATCGTTGCTTGATTATTTTCGTACCTATCATTATTCTTCTCCTTTATAATAATAATTCGAAAGGAAAAAACGTAGAAACGACGAAAGATCTTTCGAGTGGTTCTAACCCGGCAGGCTTTTCGGGATTCCTGTTCATCGGCTGGTGGTCCGAGGGAAGCAGAGAGAACGAGAAGAAAGGAAATCGATAACAGGACCCCCCAAGGGCACGCGTTATATACGCTCCTGTCGGCTACATTGCTGCCGCTCTGGGAAAAAAGCTAGCTCAGAAATTTCTCCGTATCCTTTTACTCGAGGCCAACTAGAGAAATATCAGCAAGTATCGCGTTGTATTTTCTCGCGAGAAATTGATTTTCGCAATCCAGAATATATATCTCGTTCGCTGAATTTCAAGTGTAATTTTGCGTTTGCCGAGGAGATGTAAGGTGTTTTTGTTTTTTTTTTTTTTTTTTTTTTTTTTTTTGTATTGCATTGCAATACGCTGTAAGTAAGGATATATTAAAAGCTTATTTTTAGCCCTGTATCTTTAGCGCAGGAGAACGAGTCTAGATTACTTGGCATGCAAGAGCCACGCTATGGTTCGCGAAAGCGAAAAAGAAGCGTTTCCGGTCGAGTATCGACGCACCGGCTGTAACCGCGACCAGAAGCAAATGTACAGAAACGAAACAACCTGAATTCGATTCGATTTCGAATGAGTAAATATCGCGGCGAATGATTCAATCGAATCAATTAATTGTTTAAAATTATCTTTTTTTTTCTCTTTCCCACTGAGGAACAAAAACGGGACATTGTCGGAGCAATTCGAGTCGGGCCTAGGATGACCGTAATTCGATAGCATAAATTCGCTCACTGCGTTTACGTCTCTCCCCTTTATACGTGTATTATATGTATACCCTACTCCATCGAGTAATATCGAAGCAACGCGATACGCGGAGAAGACAGCCGAGCATATTTTCACCCCAAAGATGCGAGTCTAGGGAGCGAGGGACATTTACACATTCCCTGTGCTGCTCGTTCCCTCGTACCCCATGCTTCGCGTGATATCGTGTATTGTTAATACTTGTATCCCCTGAACCGTATTTGGATATCGCGTACGGGATTCGAAAACAGAAACGAAAAAACCACGAAGAAAATTCCCTCGCGTTTCGTTAATTGGCCAGTTCGTTCGTTATCGTGAAACAAGATATTGCCATTGGCACTGTCAACAAGGAAACGGAGGAACGTGAAAAATGCGACGAATAAAAGGAAAATATTCCCTTTATCTACGGTTCCTGTCGTCTTTCGTTCTATTAGATCGTTTCTTCCATCTCTTTATTTTATCCTCTTCCACACTTTTATCTCTACTTTTTATCTTACCACGATCACGAGTAATGATTTTTATTTATTTATCTTGCACGTACAATGGAAAATGTAGCTCGACAACAGAGCTAACCGTGCTTCGGGGGTGTATTTAGCTGCGTAAATTAAAATCGCAAAGGTAAGTGGAGATTTTGTTAGCCTTTACCTACACGCCTCTTCGACTCCGATGCCAACACCGACACCGACGACGAACCCGACGCCGATGCCGACGCTAACGCCGACGCCGACGCCGACGCCGACGCCGACGCCGACGCCGATGTCGAAGCCAACGCCGAAGCCGAAGCCGAAGCCGACGCCAACGCCGACGCCTACGATCGATAGAAATGAACGAATGAGTAAAGAATGAAAAATGACAAACGCGAACACTGGTAGCTCGAAAAGTTTAACAATAAGAATAATCGACCATCGAAATCAAATATCTACGAAATTTCGACGATTCTTCTCGCGCTATCTCTCAATCGAATCGATCCATTAGATCACATTATCGTTATTTTTATCGTGGTTTATCGATACTTTAGCTAGACATAAAATTACAATACTCGAGCGGATCGGATCACTGGCCGTAAGTAGCCTCCGTTTGCGGAACGATATTAGCTTAAGGGGGAAATGGAGCAATTCGTAAGGATGGTTGGCTACTCGTTTCGCGCGATTTATCACACTTTTATTGCCAGACCCAAGTAATTCGCGACAGATTCTACTTACGTACTTTGATAGCGATTATATAAACTATCAAGTATAGTATGTATAATATGATATTACGTAAACTCGGAATGTTGTTTATTTCAGAACAAAAGAAAATAAATGTTTTTCGGTCGAACGAGTACATCGAGGTCACCTAACATTCCGTCAACGTTGGCCTAGGGAGCTTTTCGCGGATTTCTTTATCACTTGGCCGGCCGCGCTGTCAAGCATTCAATATAGTCGGCTGCATTATGCAGCGAGTTGGGCAAGCTCCTCTTGGAAAAGAGGAGGAAAAGTGGAAGAAGGGCGAAAAAGTTGAACCAGTAAACTACACCGGTTGCTTGTCTCGCATTTCAACTAGCGAAACTCGTGAATTCCCGACTCGAGTATATCACAAGCCATTCGTGCCAAAGGTAATTAATGTTTGAATCCATTTGAGAATATGAAAAACGGCTCTCTATAATCGGTAATCTTTCCTTTTCTAAACGAGACTCGTGGAGAGATTGACGAACCGAAACTCGTCGACTAATTAATTTTTCATCGAGTACAAGCTACCGCCCGTTGGCTTTTTTTCGATAGACTTTTCAACGTCGCGAAACAATTTTCTCGAGTAGGCGTGCTAGCTTGTCCTTTATTTTTCAAACATTTATGTAGACACGGCCAACGTAAACCGGAGAATAATACGAGGTCCAGACGTGTCCCTTCTGCATTGCCGAAATGCACATTGGTGATACTCTGGTAAAACTCGTTTCAGACTGCCGATATAAATAGTTTACTCGTTCGGCGTACGCTGAGACCGACTCCAGAGAAAAGAAGGCTAGCCAAGAGACACTCGGCACAAGTACGCGGGTCGGGGTAAAGAGATATGGAGCTTAAATCTTTCATGTTCTCGGGCTCGCTCGCCTCGGCTCGGCTCGCCGGTTCCCTCCTTGGCGAAACAACTGTTGTTAACCACAACAACGTTAATTTCTATCAAGGTACAGGCGACAAGTTGTTGGTCGCAACGCAAATCTACAACACATTCCACATTTTCCTTTCAGAAACAAACACGATAATGGTAAGAATACTGAAAAGTAATGCGGTAAATGGGATTTTTACGAAATGATTTTCCACGTAATTCGTGGATGTGTGCGCTCTAGTCGGCAATGTATAATACATATGTATAACGAATGCTCGTCACCAAAAGTCCGACTCTCCCCTCGTCTTTCATCCAATGGCCTTGTGCTTACAGTATCGATCACCACGTGGCCACCTAGTTGATTTTCTACGCTCGGTCTGATCCTTCAGCGGCCTCCCGGAACGGGGAGTGCCGTCCCCGCGTGCGTAACTCTATGTACAGGACGATACAAATCGAATCCAGGTACAGGTTTTTCTTGTAAAAGTGTGGGAACCGCCTTAAATGATTATTACTAACCGCTGCATAACATCGGTAATATAACTTTTTATTTCTATGGGGACCTACTGGCCCTCCTATATTGCATAACTTTTTATCTCTGACAATCGCTCGACAACTCATCTCTGTGGGGGTCATCTAGCTCGGATACCTCGGGGTTGCTAAGCCCGTACTGTAGCTTACAAAAACACCGCTACAGCCTCTGAGGGCAAAAAAATCGAATCCAGTCAGTCGCCTCGTTTTCCCACTTTTCTATCCTCCTGCGAGTTGTACTTTCGTATCGTAGCCTACAGACGATTAACGATTAACGACGAATGGCCAACTTTGATGCGCTTCTCAAAGTAGAGAGCTCGAGTTTAATCGAAATTTTTCATCTTTCAATGTAAATATTTATGTATTTGAAATAATGCGCTAGTCTTTTACTGGTTACTCTTTGGCGAGCCAATGTTTAATATTTCAACCAACGCATTCCGTATTTACGCGAGCTTTTAGTCGTTTACGTTGGCACCTGTATGTACATTGTACATCTATACATTGCGTATACGTAGATAGAAAGATGTGCTCCGAGATGAACGAGACGAGACGAGACGAGACGAGACGAGACGAGACGAATAGACGATACGCAAACGCAAACGCAAACGCAAACACAAAGTATGCGTGCGTCTATAAATACGTACATGTATGTACATATACGTACATATTCTCGCGTAAATAGGAAGTAAATGTGAGTCAAAGGACGTACTCGTAAAAGGTGTGCGATAAGCGCATTCGGATACGTCTATTGATAAACTTAATTCGTGTGTACAATATTTGTCTCGTCGCTATTCTGCTAATTGTGTAATGCAATTTAATTTTAATATTCTTACCGACCAATTCTTCTTCATCTTTTTGATAGAAAATAAATTGAATTTTGGCAAATCCGTCGTATATGGAAGTCGCGATAAGAAACACGATGGTACTCTTAAACGGCCGGCCATGGTTCTATCTCTGAAAACAATCGGAATTGAACGTATAGTTGGACGGGATTGTATATGTACAAAATACGATACAAATGATAGTAGATTGCAGACTGTTAGCGATTAACCGATAACCTACCAATATCAATTCTCAAACGAAGAAAATGGTCTCGTGGGAGTAGCGAAGCCTTACGAAGAATATCGTGTAACGCGTCGTCAAGACTTGTTGAATTTTCATTTGTCGAGCAGCCCTGTTTTGTCGGTGTCGGGTCGGGATTGGTCCTGCAATTCATGAACAAGGTTAGGTTGGTTGGGTTGATGGTTGATAATTCGCAGAAATGATCTAGTATTTCCTTAACTGTCAAGCTGTAACGTAACTCGTTCGACTTTGCGAGTTGATGCTTTTACCGCCAACAACAAAAGAACCAAATTTCTCGACAGGAAAGAAGAACAAGTACATACATACCGCTTTGTTTGGTTATTTTTACCATTAGTTATCGGAAACAAAGGTAACGGAAAACCCGGAAATGTAATAAAAGCATCGCTATCTCACATCTGCGGCTGCGGCAACCGAGAAAAAGGAATCGGAAAAGCGGGAACCAAACCGAACCGAGGGCCAACCACGGAGTAACCGAGCAACACAGAGACACTGTCCACGTTGGCACAGTTGCAGTGTAGTATCCCGCGTACAGTATAGAGCGCACCCCGTGTGCCTATGTATACATATACATACATACATACATACATACATGTATAACTACATACAGGATGTCCCAAAAGTCGGGGAGGAGCCGGAAATGGGGGGTAGTTGAGACGATTCTGAACAATAATTTCCTTTGCAAAAATGTCGGATGGGCTTCGTTAAGGAGATATTAAGAAAAAACCCCGACCAATCAGAGCGCGCGTAGACCGTTCGAGCGACCGCGGCCGGCCATTCTCAACTACCCCCCATTTCCGGCTCCTCCCCGACTTTTGGGACACCCTGTATGTCCAAGCTGATTCAAGCAAAGCACATCTAGCGTCGCGTCTCACGTGTTCACTTGTTCGTGACAATGGTAATAGAATGGGAATGGGAGTCGACTTCCGACGACTGCCAAGAGACAGAGTTGTCACGCTGACCAACTTGTGACAGCTTGTCGACAAGTTTTGCCAGCCGCTTCGCCAAAGACTTGCGCTCGCGGTTTCGCGAAATTAATGTCGCGGGTCGAGGAGAGAAGGGAGAGGCTGACAGTCCGGGGAGAAGGTGAAAGTAAGAACCATTCACGGACATAACCTAAAGATAAACTGTGTACGCGGCTGATCGTTGATTTCGTGGCGATTCCTCGGCGATACTGCATCGCTTTTAACAAGTGGTCTGACATGATCGTACCAAAGGGTTGGCCTTTTAATGAATGACTTGTCGGGAACGGAGCTACGAACAGAAAAAATATGGAAAGTTGCAACGAAGGGGCTGACCGCGACCGGACTTCAACGACGTCTGTCACCACGGTATTGCGAAAAAGTTGGTCCGAATTGAGAAGCGTTGTCAGTGATTTACGCAGAAAATTGTCCGGGGTATCAGCTGGCTCCGTACCGGGATCTATTACGTTTCGATCTTTACCCGATGGACGGTAAGAACCATTTTTATTATATATTGTAGAAAGATCTTGTAATCGTGAAAAGTTTTCTTATTTCAGGACTAGAATATATTTCCTCAGTAGTCCGAGCAACGGATGGGAGACCACTCTGTTATACGTGGATATCGCGCATTCCGATCATGCCAATGGATACCGTCTTCACTGGCAACCTGTTATCGAAGCAAATTTTCAAACGTACCGTAACCTTTCCTGACCATCTTATCACTGGCTCTTCCTTACGCTTTGGCTCAATTTTTATAGGCTTATTTATCGTTTACAGGGTATCCAGTACAAAAAGGTTATCCAGAGAAGAACAGCTGTTATGGGAAAGGAAAAGACTAGCCACTTGGGGCATTACGAGTTACGAAATTCATCCAGATAGTGGAAAATTAGTCTTTCCAGCTGCGAGTAGTCTTTATCAATGTATAGACACAGGATTCATGGTATTTCTTCGATGCTTATTTGCCTTCATGAAAATATCCAAAGGATACTAAATAAAATTGAATAAAAATGCTGTATTAGGCTGGACCTCTTTTTCCATCCGAGATTCGCATGTCAACGTCAGGTGCAAAGTTATGTCCACAAATTTGTCCATGGAACAACGCGTTAATTGCTCATACGTGTTCGGGAGATCTCTACCTATCCCACAGTATCACCGGTTCTTCCATAAGATTAACCTATGCAAGAAAGGGTGGGAGAAGCTTAGCGGACGATCCTCTCACCGCGGGAACCCCTTCTTACGTAATGCAAGAAGAATTTACTAGGTGCGTAGTAGGTAGTATGATACCGTATACTAAATATGCATGTATATTTAATATAGACGATATTTATGTAAAATACACTTGTTTGTGCAGGTATATTGGTTATTGGTGGCAGCCAAAATCCAACGACGGTGTTTATAGAATAGTATACGAAGAGGTCGACGAAAGCGATGTAAAAATATTTTGCTTTCCGTCTACGTCAAATTCGGAAGAAATAGACGAATTTAGGTTTCCTAGAGCTGGTACCTCGAATGCTAGGAGTAACCTTAAAATGGTGCAATTCCGGATAACCGAAACATTACAAATCGTTGACACTGAAATATTAGAACTCCAATATCCATTGCATATTCTCTTTCCATGGATGGAATACATGGTGAGAGTAGGCTGGACGCCCGATGCGCAATAGTAAGTCAGAAATATTTCCTATTTTCCGTGCGCGTTGTAATCATCATTTCCGTAATATTTTGTATAAATATAGTGTCTGGGTCCAGCTGTTAGATAGAAAACAGCAAAAGCTTGAGTTGGTTTTATTATCGATAGATAATTTTTCTGAGCCACCTCCAAACATATACAATTCCGAAAATCACTTTACGCCATCGTCGGCGAGTGTTCAAGTGATATATTCCGAGCTCAGTTCGATTTGGATCAATATTAACGATCTCCTCTATTTTTTACCATCCGATAATTCAACGGAAGTGAAATTCCTTTGGGGTAGCGAGGAATCTGATTTTAGACACCTCTATCTCGTAACATCTAGTATAGCAGGTGAAACACTGACACGACTATTATTACTCAACGCCAACCTATATTGCATTTTCGATTGCGTTTCTATTATCGTATACATTCAATATCCTTTTTACGTGTTCCGTTAGTAGGTTTAAACAATCAAGCCGAAGAATCTTTGGATAGAATGGATAGCATTTTTTTGCAACCTCGAGTTATTTCGAAGGTTGCTTTAACCCAAGGAGATTGGGAGGTGTTGGGTAAAAAATTGTGGGTAGACGAAAGCAACTCTATCGTCTATTTTTGTGGTTTACGCGAGGGTCCGTTAGAGCAACACGTTTACGCTGTGTCTCTTCGTCGGCCATTAGAGATAAGGTTGCTCACAAGGCCGGGTTACAGTTACAACAGTATATATTTCAATAAGGAATGCACGATGCTGGTGACTGTTTACAGCTCCATCAAAACGCTACCAACTTGTCAAGTACGATTCCTTCACGAAAATCACGATCCGAACAATTGTTCTCACTGATTCTCAATCATTTTTTTCTAGGTATTTAAAATATCGCAAACGGATTGGACGGTGGAGAGTATTTCTTTAACTCCCTTAGGTTATCTGTTAGAACCATCGACACCTGAATCCGAATTATTTGCCCCGGAAATTTATACACATACGATATCGTCTGGCGATTCAATTTATTCCATGATTTTTAAACCACATAATTTCCAACCTGGTGTCAAGTATCCCACGATACTCAACGTTTACGGTGGTCCCGAAGTGCAACTCGTATCGAATACCTTTAAAGTAAACATTTATCAAATATAACTGAACAAGATGCTACTATACTTATTTGAATCTCATTAATCTCATTCGTTCATACTCATACTCATATTCACATTCATATTTTATATAGGGAATGAGACATTTGAGAATGCATATGTTAGCTGCCCAAGATTACTGCGTAGTTTTAATCGATTCTCGTGGTTCGCATCATAGAGGTTTAATGTTTGAAAGCCATTTGCAACACAGAATGGGTACCGTTGAATTAAACGATCAAGTCGAAGTACTAAAATGGTTGGCCGAAACTACTGGTTATATTGATCTGAATCGCGTAGCTCTACACGGTTGGTCGTACGGAGGATATTTGAGTCTTATGGGTCTGATACAGTATCCTGAAGTATTCAAGGTATCGTTATGTATCGCGAATTATTAATATACGTAAATGTACTTTTATTTCTTTAATGATAGTTTGAAACAAAATTTTCAGTTGGCGATCGCCGGTGCACCGGTCACCTCCTGGAATTTTTATGATACCGGTTATACCGAACGCTACATGGATTTGCCTCAAAATAATCCTCCTGGTTATATAACCGGCTCAATTTTAACCTATGTGGATAAATTCCCTGACGAGGAAAACAGGCTATTAATCATTCACGGACTGATAGACGAGAATGTACACTTTTTTCACACAAGTCAGTTGATCAATGCCCTTGTAAAGTCTGGAAAACCATATCAACTGCAAGTTTATCCCAACGAAAGACACAGTCTTAGAAATTTAGATGCTAGTAAACATTACGAAACTACCCTATTATCATTTTTACAAAATCATTTGTGAAATCTTAGTTTACATTCAGCTATACAGGTTCAGCGGTGAACGTTGATTAAAATAAGGTTTTAACAATTTAACTGACTGCCATTACTTTATGTACATACATGAAACAAATTAAAAGTTGTTCGTTACATCCTCGAGTTGGCGATGGTGTTGCCTAACGCGTAACGTCTATCTTAGACTTTGCATGAAACAGAGTGAAAGCTAAATTGTATTAGTTTTTCAACAACGGTCGAAACAAGTTTTTAATACAAACACCGAGGTACTTTTATCCGTTAACGGAGAAACAGTGTACACAGACAAACATACGCGTTCGCGCACTGATTCAGATACCGTACATCACGATATTCAGCCATCGTGAAACTTATGGAGAACACGATATACAGCCTTTTTAACAAGCTATCATAGAGCTTTACCGTAATAAGATTAATTGTTACTTTTTTAAGGAAATGGACAATACTCGTAACTCGTCTGTACATATATACATATGCGTCATTAGATCTGCATAAATACTTTCAGAATTGTCCCTTAATTGTACTTACAACAATTATTCATAGTCTTTGTTAGAAATATACTTATCTCGTGGCTGTCATCATTTTACGTTTGACTATGTACATACGCGCGAGCAATCATTCACGTTTTTACAATAAATATTAATAAAAAGTATCGATGCTGTTTTATCATTGCGATTAAATTATAAATCCAATTAACGACTACTCAGAACTAGGAATTTGAATAGTACGAAAGTATTGAGATATATTAAGGTTAATGCAAGATACAATTACATTTTATTATGGAAATATACATTACTGGGTGCTGCCATATGTTTTAGTTTTATAGTTTAAGAACCTGTATAGATATTTTATTCTCTTGTTTAAGTCGCGCCATTTCGTTGGTCTGGCTATTGGAAATATACCGTGCTGCCATATTTTACGCTTTCTCAGTAATACTTGATATTCGTTGCCTTTAACACCTCTTAGCCAGGAGGGTACATTATACAAAATTCTAGTCGGATGAAGATTATCCGAGCCTAAAATGTCAATGTAATCATTCTGGCCAAACAGTGCTCTCTTTTGATTCCAACTATCTTTTGGTCTGTATAGTGGCAAAGGATTGACCCTCCTATCACTTTCACGAGGCAAAAGTCCTTTCATATCGATAGGATCCTTGTATCCAAAACGTCGCATTAACGGGCCCTTTACTCTCACATTGGCATGATAGCGAAATCTTACCGAAGTTACTTGTGGTGTCCACACACTAGTAACCATACGTAGCGTGTTACTGAACCACGACATGCTAAACATTAATAATCATTAATGTTAGTGTACGATGTGATAGTAGTAACGACTAATACTTGACATAACCTCGATTTTTACTCATCGTACTTGAGTTTCAAGTTTCAACATAAAATACATACCTCACTTTAATGGTGTATGAATTGACACGTGCTGCAGTATAATTGAAATTTCTTATTTAACCATCTATGACATTATATCTCATATCTGAACTTGGAATAGAAAGAAGGATAAAAATCGCGACGCGGATCACGGGGGCTGAGGAGTGTAACCACGTTTTTAGTTGGAGACATAAATCCACGCGGTGCTAGTAGCCATCACACAGAGACATATCTAGGGTATCGGCGAGTACCACCAACACACTGCTATGAAAATTTCAGCGTCGGTTTCCGTCGGTACTCGTTGTCATTTAAAGTCCGCGAAAGCGAACACGGAGCGCTTTTTATTATTCGCAACTCTAAACAAAATTACGTGCACCTGTGTTAATGAACGATTTACGAAAATACTTTGTATGTAGTGTACAGTTATAAATAGTGTAAGGTATAAATAATAATAATTTATTAAATTTGTAGAGCCAGACATTTATTTACAACGATCGCATATCGTTTCGCTTATCGATTTAAAGTAAAATTTGCAGATACCTGTTTGGAGCTGCGGTTCTAAATTAGTTGTTGTAGAAGCGATAAAAGTATAACTGGAATTCCAAGAAAGGCGTACAGAGAGGCTGGAAAAGAAGAAAGATGAGAATTGTTAAAAAGACGCGTTCAGCCGTTCACCGAATTAGATTGTGGCGTAGAGTTAATTGTTGTTAACCTCTGCTACAATCCGCATATCCTTCCTTACAAACGCATCGACTGTTTTTACATTCAAGGACATCTTCATTACGGGAGCCCATACACTCGTAATCCATTAAGCACGTATCGAACAAAACTGAAAAGAGCGTGTTTAGGAATTTAGTTTGGTTGGTACACGTGACCCGCACTTTGTTCTAACAATAAGACATTCGCACGAAAAAAGTTTAGCGGAATTTTCGTTGCTTCACAACTGTTTTCTATGCGAACGTTGACAAGGTTTATTAAATAAACCTTGAATTTCTTTCTAGCACGTTGCGAAAAACTGGCAATTCGCTACCGATTGCGACCGATTGTTTTAGATTGATCTTAGATTCGTCTTGTATCTTGACACCTGATTTGTAAGCGAGTAAATAAAGAGGTATAACAAGTATAAATAAACAAGTATTAGTTATTACGTCGTGTTTGGAGGCATTTTCCTGTTTGATTTACAAAGTGGTAGCCCGAGACGCATCGACAACTTTCCTCGATACACATAGCACGACCAAGTACATCTTGACAATCATCGCTCCTTTGACAACGATCTCCTACCATCGACGGTCCTGTAACGCGAACTTGGTGTAATATTCCTGTTATACATGTACGTACAGAAATTTTTGTTCGAATCCAAGCAACCACACTTGTTACGTACTGTTGATGCAATTCGAAGAATTGGTTGTGTCCAAAACATACGAATCTTTGCATGCGCATTTTCCTTGTTTGCACTCTGCGTTCGTCATCGATAGACAGGTCGAATCGTCGTTGCAAAACAACCCCTCGCCTGTCGAAGGACAATTATGTCGAGATAAATTATCTATCAACGATAGCAGCGATACCATCGATACTTACTAGCGATGCACATCGTTTTGTCCGGAGTAGGTGAGTAATACTGTTCGCAGGTACAGATCATTTGTGCTTTACAGAACGCATGTGAAATGCAATCACGGTCTCTTTGGCATTTCTCGCCATACTTGACAGTTCCATTCTTTTCGATAATTTCTGGAAGAAAAGTTCCGATTTTCAATTTACGTTCGTAGAGTAGTATGTAACGTACGATGCTATGTACATATGTGTATGTACTATTATATGTACACGGTCGTTGGAAGGTTCTTTTCAACACTCACGCGTCGAACAGCAAAGTGATCCGAAAGTGATAAAGAGCACAGCGATCCCGAAAACTTGAGTCTTCATTTCAAAAACAGTAAACTCGTGAAGATTGACTACGATCGCAGTGCATTACTCGAACGGTTCTAGATACGAAACGCGGTAATGTCTCGACCGAGAATGACACTGTGCACGCCCTTCCGTGATAATCGTTATCTTTTCATTTATCTCTGATATAACTGCTCGAGTGAATCAGATGGTTGGTGTCGGGGTAGGCTGCTTTCTTGGAATATTTCAACTATCGGTTGGTACAATACAATAAATATACATGTAGTTGGGAAGGAAACAGTGATTGGTAGGAGAAGACGACTCGACTCGACTCGACTCGACTCGACTCGGCTCATCTCGGTTTGCCGTTCATCAGTCGCGTGCTATCGATGCTCGATCGCGAACCGATATTCGCCAGTGTGCAAGGATTCGCGCCTCATTGAAGTTTGAACGTCCAACCATCCTCGTTGCTCTCGAGATGAAGAGGTGCTTCCTTGTCCAAGTCGTCGTCGTTGTTGCGATATTTCATCGTACGATTGCCGAGCAAATCGGTAAGAACTGCCAAACTTGTTCAACTATTATCTATGTATCGGACAGTTGACAAGAAACAAGCAATTTAAAATTAATTCGAGATTATAGATTACGGTAGCGAGTACGTAGTTTGCCATGTTTCAAACAGTTTTATAGAAATACGGATGTATCAGTTATCGGTATCGTGAAATGTACCGCGACAGGGGAGTAGAGCCGTTGAGACTGTCGAAATCGATTTAACGTCAGTTTATTACAAGTATCGGTCGCGTTTCGCCATATACATGTACATGTACCTGTACCTATACCTATATCTTTCGTAATAGGTAGGTATGGATGTCCCGGTAGTTGTGTATACAGACGTTGACGTGCTTTGTTTCAAAAACAAAAAAAGCGACCTTTTCGAGGCACTGCTGGAAGGAAAACAAATCTCGAGGAAACAATAGGCGACAATAAGACGATCAAGTAACTATTCGAATGTCGACCGTTTTCGCTTGCTTCTTTCTATCTATCTTTCTTTCTTTCTTTCTTTCAGGACGATTAAAATATTTAGTAATATTAAATTTACATCGCGTTGTATCTACGCGATAATGTTTACGTTAACAACAATACGTGTTACTATTTTCAATATTAAATTGGGCTAGAAATGACTAGAAATGAAAATAGTAAAGACTAGTTTTTTGTTTTTTTTTTTTTAAACTCCAAAGTGAAAATCGGATTTTGGTTGTGTCGTATCGCAGATCCACCGATTCCTTGTACGAGTCCTGAAAATTCATGCCCGGAGTTGTCGAGTACACCGACCAAGGACGTGTTCTGCCAGTACGGATTTTGCATGTGCAAGAACGGCACGGAAATCCGATATTGTTCCAGTAGGAAAATTCTACAACAGGACAACAGAAACACAGGTAGGTAAAGAAATGTACAGTTTTACGTTGACACGTGACATTTCCTGTTTATATTTTAGGGCCGTTAGGGTCGTCCTTTTCCCGTGTTTGCAAAGTCAATCAGGATTGCAAGTTTGTCAATTCTTTTTGCAACACGACGATTAATTGGTGCGAATGCCAGAAAGGTTACGTTTTCTCGAGCAATAAGAAACTCTGTTTAAAAAGTAAGAACGAACGGTATGTATGATTGCGGTTTGAATTTATATTTACGAGGAGGACGGCGATTGTTGATTTTTAGAGGCCGAAGCAATCGATTTCCCATGCGTCGACGAGACGCAATGCTTGGCTTATCTGCCGAATACCACGTGTCAGAGTAACGGCCAATGCAACTGTATATCTGGTTATCATTACGCGCGAGATGCTTGCTATAAAACTGTCGGTAAGACCAACAATACGACGAAACGAAACGAAACGAAAAGAAACGAAAAGTTCAACTCGGTAGATCGGTAGATAACTGGAAACGATTCAACTGTCACGACAGGTTTCGGAATGTTGTGTTCGAAATCCGAAGAGTGCTCTCTCGTCGAAGGTGCAACCTGCACCGATACAAAAGTGTGTGGATGTCCCGCGGAGACTGTGATCGATGCCGCGGAGAATAGATGCTTGCCAGTCGCTCGGGAAATTGGAGAAAAATGCGTGGAAGACGTACAGTGTAACGTGACATTTGGAAATGTCGTCTGCGTCGCGGAAAGCTGTAGCTGCCAAAATGGTTACCACTTTGAATTCGAGATTAATCGGTGCTTGTTCGACAGAGGTAAGCATTCGTTTATTTTCGAATTGGTTGGATCGCTTTGTCGTTAGTCGCATCGATTCGCAATTTCGCAGCTTTGGAGGAAAATTGTGGAAACACGTACGACTGTTATCAATCCGAAGACGAAAATGTGACCACCAAAGCAGTCGAGTGCGTGGAAAACACATGCGTATGCGCCAAAGACTTTTACAGAGAGGGTAACAGATGTATCAATAACGAAGGTAAGCGAATAACTAATCGAAAAGTTGTATCCTTCCGCGAATGGCGCTTCGATTCCGCCATTTTCAATCGATTGGTGTTTTCAGGTGCGTCTTTCTTGGGATCCTTTCTATTGCTTTTCCTTGTAACCTTGGTCCGTGTCGCGTTCTGCAACCAGCCCTTCTAACTCTTTGGATTTTCCGCGTTCCTCGCTTCCTTCGATCTTTTACTTCCTCATCTTTCTTTAATCTACCAATGGGAAAACTTGTTTTACCCTCGAAGCACTTTGGTCTCGAGTTAGGTCCGTGCACCGTGTCTCGGCTAGAACATGATGCAGGATTCAGCGTGGGAAAGGAAAGCGTTGCGGTCCTATAAGTATAATATAGCTGAACGTAAGAGTATAGGGCCAAGAGATTGTCGAATCGGTTAATGTCGTCCTTATCGTTTCGAGCCACTACCTCGGCTAACAATAGGAGATCTTGTCAAATTCATCGTCCTGTATACCGAGTTATGCGTCGCGTCGAGTGCAACGAGAGAATAATGCGTCGTGTGCATCGAAGCGTTCGATGACTTCCTTCGGCTCGCGGGCAATTAACGCGATTGCTGGAACCGCGTTACCGTGGACTGTGATTCGAGACCTCCTTATCATTATCGAAGTAAACCTTAGGGAATTTTATTAGCTCTTTTGGTGAAAGAAAAATCACAAGTTGACGGTAACGAATAGCTAGATGAAAAGTTGCATAGCGTATTCGTCGGAAACGAAATTCGTCTATCGAATCATCGGGTAAACGATACGTCTACGTCTAGCCCGATAATGCTGAACGTAGCCACCGTAGAGATACGTGTACTTTTGCGTGGAACGCTAGAGGCCTACGACAAATTCTCGTCGTGAATTTTGTATTAAGTAAAGTGCGAGTAGTATTTTATTTGTATTACAAGAAAAGTTGCGATCAAATGTATGCGAATCGAATCGTAGCAACATTGACGCCATTTAAGAATTTAATGTTTAGCTCTAGTCGAACGAATGTCATTTTTTACAAATAATTTATGCCTTGGCTTTCGGAGAAATAGTAGGTATAGTGCATGTTTTTCCAAATTTCTAAAATACCCTGGATGCGTTTACACTGTTACAATATTATTGCGAAACATTGGACAAAGATTATTGTTACCATAGCTGATTTACTACTTTTTTTTCTAAAATACAATATAATCAAAATTAATATGCAAAGCGTTTTAATAGAAATCGTGTCGACACGACGCGACGCGACGGTGTATCCTACGGCTACCAATACCAACCGAAATGTTCTCTAGTAGTCTGGGCAGGAGCGCGCGAAGCGAAGCAACAGGTACAAGTATTCGATTCGGTGTGATGCAAGAAAAAAGATGACGCACAGAATTTTACTCAACTTTTAGTTTAGTGTTGGATTGCACGGTAACAATCGGCCACTATATTTAACAAAATATTGGAATGTCTGTTGTGAGAATAGGTGTACATGTATACAAATTATACTTGTCGTTTGACGACGTTTCTCAACATCAAGGCGTGGCAGAACTGAAATTTTAGATGATGCGCAACCTAACGCGGTCTACCGCGTTAAACATAGATTGAAAATTGTTGATGACACATCCGCGATTTCAGCGCCGATAGAGAGGTTAAGACAATAAATGACTCGCCTCGTGTTCATACATACGTAGGTACGTGGTCGCGAGCAACTTATCAACGCGTACCGATTAGATAAAGCTGCTCGAGAAACGTTAGATCGGTCGTAGTTTCGAAAGAACAGACCGAAGAAACGTATTTGTAAATTTTCTGGTGAATTAGTCTGGTGAAGGAATCGAGTGAGGAGGACTGGAAAGGAAAACAAAAGGATAGGAAAAGGAACGCTCTTAAAAGAAGCAAAGCTGTAATCCTGAACGGGTGATTGTGAGATGGCGGGCTCGGCGTATCGTCTCGCGTTTGGAGGTGTTGCGCTGTCGATGTCGATGTCGATCGGTCTCTGGTTCTGCTTGTGCTTGGCAGCACGGTGTGCAGTCGTTGCCGCGCACGGACAGCACGAGCATCTGCTCCGTAGAAGTGAGTGTCAACTGCGATTTCAGTCGTTCCGCTTTCCTTTTTCCAAATAAATTCAGAGTAAACTCAAAGTGAAATTCGAGTTGACGCAATGATGCGATGACGCGATGACGCGATGACGCGGTGCGTTTTTCGAGCACCGGAGCTATGCAGATAGATCGTGGACCGTGGAATCGTTACGTTGGTTACGTTAGTCTGTTTATTTAATTAAAAAAATGATATCCGTTGAGGAAAACATTGATATCTATAGAGCTAAAATGCGTGGAAAATTCACGTATCAGGGGAATCGAAATAAAAATTAGGGATCGCGCGAACCGGGTGTTGGTCTCGTTTAATTTGCTGAAACGTCGAGGGTTTCGGTGGAATGAATTCGTAAGAAATGCCTCGAGCAGATTGGTTGTTTCGTGACCGAGTAAAATCCTCTGTTCGAGTTTCGTGGAGAATAGTAGGGAGGCCGGATCTACGCTGGCTGGTTCTCACAGTTAGGTGAATGTCGGGTCGGGACGGCACATAATTAAAGAACAAGGGAGATCGTTCCCTTCTGCTTTCTGATATTTCGGTCAAACTCTCTGCTCGGTTCTCGAGACTCGGAACTTGGAACGCGATTGCGACATACAAGTACGCCGCGAACAAAGCTTGACGTTGCGCGAGTCTTGTTACAAGTACAAAGTCACACGCGATATGTGGAAATAGTGCCGGCACTTTGCCCGTCCGAGCGTCCGCGTCCACGTCGCTACGTTATGTTCGCGTCGCGATACATGATAATTCTGCGAGGAAACGAAAATAATCGATTTGTCGAATCGACGGAAAATTGAAATTCCACACAGGGATAAATCAAAGTATTTGCTCGTTGATACGTTCAAAAAACGACGCGATAATTTCTGTTGAAAGATTCACACGCGTTCAACTCTCTTGGAGGAGTGGGTTTTCTCATTGCAGAGATCGACCGCGACCTTATCATTTTTATTCGAGCACCCAACCCATATGACAATGGCTTCTGTGTTTCTATGTGGCGGTTTTGTTGCGTAACATAGTCAAACAGTGGAAACGGAGCACGCTAAGGTTGCTCATCGATCGGTAAATACGCGCCGAGTTCGAAGCGTCGGCATATTCATCGTAACCGATTACCAGGTAATATTTATTATAGACGCAACGCTGATGTCGATGCCGATGCCGATGCACACGCGTCATCGCTGTTTCGAGAATGCTACAATTGCATAGGCTAATGAAAGATTCGTTAAAATCCTGTTTACGATTTCAATTAACCACGCGACGAGAACCCACCTATCTAATTAAAGTTAAACACGAGCAAGGATCCACTGTTGGGTCACCGATTTACCGCCCGCTACCCGTCGATTACGTAATAAAAGCTGCTGCGGAGCTGTGGTAAAACGTTGCTCGCAAACAGTTTAATTTGTCGAAGTCAGGGACGAGTGGAACGACGCATCGTCGATTCCAAATGGATTTCGCGTCGCGACATTGATCGTTGATCGAGTGGTAAACACGGTAAATATTTATTCGAGCGCGCTTAACCCAATTTAAGCGGCGACGGCGATCGATAAATCCGCGACTCTCGCCTCGGTTCCGGTAACAATGGCAACGAATCGAGGCTTGTCGTTGCCTACTAATTCCCAAAACTAACTCGCGTTACGGTCCGATCTCCGATAGAGTTCAAGAGGAGCAATCGAAGCAATCGAAAGCGGTGGTTGGCGAGACGTTTCTATGTTGGTAGAGTGGTAAAAATGATGCGAGAGTGGTGCGGCGCGGCGCGGCGATACGAGAACGATACCGTGTCTTTGGGTCGGTGGTGCGGTGCGATCGTGATCATGTGCAGTTGTTGACGCGCAGTTCCGACTCGTAACTAGTAACTCGTAACGCGAGTAGAGAACGCGGCAGAGCGTAAAGGAACGTTTAGTTGGAAGAGCTGCTCGAACCATTGTCCTCGAGATTGGGAATGACGGCAACTGTTATCGAGCTGATGGAACCAAGACAACAAGACGTTCCAGCGACGGCACGAGGATGACGCCGACCAGGACGGTGGCTGGGCTATCGAGGCTCCTCGTCCTCGTGCCCGTCACCGTCTGCGCGACCATTTCCTACGTCAATCAAGAATCGTCGCGATGCAACGACCGAACACCACCCCCTCGTACGTATGCGAACACGATACCCACTCGTATCGTATCGAGATCGAAAATCGAAAATCGTTCGGTTACGTTTCGTCGACATTTTCGATCGAACAGTATTACCGAGTTTTCGGATTCACGTATTCTAGTAAAAACGGAAACTCGGTGAACCGACGAATATGAATATACATGTACATGCGAGCGAAATGCACCGAGTTGGATTCGCGGTGTGCTATCCTACAAGTGCAACGGGAGAACCGGAAATAGTATTCAATCGACATCGTCTACGATTCCTTTTTATCGAAATATTTGTACGTTTAACAAGTCTGTAACACAATTTCTTTTTCAGACACCCTGGAAAGTTGCCATTACGACGACGACTGCATAGAGAACGCGTATTGCTGGAATCAAGAAGCTTGTTTGTGCAAAGATGATTACATCGTCTACAAGAATCGGACGCACGTAAAGTGTTTAAAAGGTAAACAAGCGTTTCAAATATATCTACGTACACACTCGAACATTCGGCTCGAAATATATTGCCAATTAATCGTTGCACTCGGCGATTTTTCATTAGAATCGGATATGTGATTCCACGGATATCTTTCTTCGTTCGTATTTGTACGAGTCTCTTTCTCACGGTACGGTCTTCCGTCCCCGGTCTCCCGTCTCCCGTCTCTCGTCTCCCGTCTCCCGTATCCCGTCTCCCGTCCTCTGGAGCGTGTCGTTGCTCGTGCTAGTGCACCAACTCGGCTTAATCATATTTCCTTGGCCTTCCCACGGAGAATTACCAGTACCGATTACCTCTCGAACAATACGAACAAGGTTCTTGTTGGAGAAAATATCGCCGTTAAGTAAAAGAAATTTGTTTCCGTAGTGGCAACCGCTATCGGAGACCCATGCGAGGCGGACATTCAGTGTCGCATCACCTTTGCTACCTATTCCGAGTGTCAACAAAGTATCTGTCAGTGCTCTGATGGCTCTTATTATTTCGAGGGAAGATGCTACGAATCTATCGGTGAGTGATCGTACTCGTGTCGCTTTACTCTGCAACGAAGCCTTTTTGCATTTCCTGCACAATGATTTATTTCCTACTACGGACGAATGGCTTTGCAATTTCCTTTACGATTCAGATTGTTTTCGACGATACACGCCGTGCAGATTTTAATAGGAAAATTTCAACAAAACGAAATATCCTTTAAACCTTCTTTTATATTCACACGTGCACGTAGAATTTTAGATTAGTACGTTGTATAATATAAATTATTTGAAAAATATTCAAATTTTCAGAGTTTGGTCAGCGTCTCTATCGAGAAAACGGCCAAGTTTCTTCTCGAATAATTGGCATTTTTAACGCTAGATGACACCATTTATATATATATATATATATAATCGAGGACAAACTTGAAATGAAATTAGAGGATGTTTAGCGATTAAGTCTTAGAAAATTAGTATTTATGAGAAAAAGGTCCAACGTGTATATTTTCTGAGCTACGTGGACCTTTCACCACACCTTTCGCCCATAGGGCACTCGTCGAGCGACTCTTGCCGCAAACGATTAATTTAGCTATTCTTCTTGTTTGCAGGTTTAGGAAAAGCTTGTCAATCGCATCGAAATTGTTACATCAAAGATAGTTACTGCGTGACAGGATTTTGCGAGTGTACCTTGAATTATCATCCGAATCCTCGTAACGATGGCTGCATACCGAATGTGGGTAGGTAAAGATATGAAAAGAAAGAGGGGTCTTTCGATTACGGAAGAACGACCGATTCTAACACCGATTCTCGAAACTTTTGAAATCGTATTGGCCGTATTGGCAGTAACGGTCACCAGCTGATTCTCTACGTGAAATTTTACGTGGTTCGACAGAGCTGGGCGACAAGTGCTCCAAGGATTACGAATGCGTCGTGGAGAATTCGATTTGCAGGAACGTTTGCTCGTGCAGAATGAATCACGTGGTATCGAACGACGGTAAGCGGTGTCTGAGAGCTGCCAATTCCGTTGGAGAACCGTGTCAAGAGGATTCTCAATGCCGGTTATTCCTGAAAGACTCAATCTGCGGGTCTAACGGTGAATGCATTTGCGCGGACAAGTTTCATCGGAGCGGTTCCGAGTGTTTAAAGGACGTTGGTGGGTACATATCGATAGAAACAGCTAATTGTAAGTAACGCGACGAGAATTCGATTACGAACCAGTTATCTTTCAGCGTTGAACGAACGATGCGAAAGCCACAGAGAGTGCGTGACCGATAGACACAGAGATTCGCATTCTATCCAAGTGACGAACGTCGAATGCCTAGACGGTATGTACGCGTTTTAATACTCTGTAAACGTTCGGAAGAAAGGAATTTTATTTGTCGAAACGATGCATTTTTCTTCCAGACGTCTGCGTCTGCGCCAAAGATTATATTATCACGGAAGAGTTACGCGATTGCATTCCATACGTGGACAGTGGTAATTGTTTCATTTTGTTTTCTTCTCGATCAGTTTTATTCTAAAAATGAAACATTCCAAGAGATCCAAGAGTGATTTACTTTTAGGTGGGGCTTCGGTATCAACAACGCCTTGGAAGGGAATTACTCGAGTTTTCTTCTTGGCGCTTCTTACAAGAATTTCGATGTTTTGAATGTCGTCCTACACCACGACCACGATGCGATTCTTACTGAACCGTAACAATATTCTATACAGCTATACACCAAGTTCGATTCGTTGTAAATATCTTTTATGTTGTATCAGCGCGAGCATTGGGATCGCTGCGATCGAGACGGCCGTGCCGCGGCCGAACCGCTACCAAAGAGTTGGTTATTTCGCTAAATAAATAATTTATTTGCGATTCGCTACGTTGCTATACGGTAGATAGCTAGATAGCTAGATACCTAGATACCTAGATACCTAGATACCTTGGACGGTTCATCGATCGTCGATTGTTGTTATCTAGAAAAGATCGTCTAACGTGTACGGTCCGAATTCAACTGTTTCCAATCTTTTTTTATCATATCAGCGGCCTTTTCGGCGATCATATACGTCGGCGCGTTCGTATGGCCAGCGATCAGGCTTGGAATTATACTGGCATCCACGACTCTCAAACCGTTGATTCCGTGCACTCGTAACCTGTGATCGACCACGCCCGAGTTCTCCCTCGTGGCCATCTTGCACGTGCCCACGAAATGACCCAAGGTTGTGCTCACGTGGCGAGCAACGCACGTCCAGTACGGATCGGTATCGAACGGGATACGTTTGCATCCTGGAAATGCGACCGGTAACAGCGTCGCGTTGAAACGCTTGAAAGCCTTGGTAGACGCGATTAGTATTGCCTACGGATACGATGAAAAGTTACCCTTCAAAGTTTCGGTTGATCATTTAAGAATAATAGCTAGGGAAATGTAACAGTTGAGAAACGATTTTATCGGATAAATATACACGGCGAAAGTAGTCGCTACCTTTCTTATTCCCCGAACCATGGTTGTCAGATCGTCTTGGTGATCGTAGTAATTTATTTGGAATATAGGTGGACGAAACGGATCGGAGGTCCTCAAGGTAACTCGCCCCCTACTTTTCGGCTGCAAGAGTATCGGGACGATCGAAAAAGCATCGAACCCTTCGTAGCCGGTGAAAACCTCTTTGTAAAATTGCTCCGTCAAGCCAAGAAGACCTCTGAAGCTGCCGGATATGTCTCCGGTAAGCGCGCTAATTCCTAAAACCAATTCGATGTCGGGAAGGTCCGCTTGTTCCGAATTGAGAAATCGAGATTCCGAGTAGCTGGTGCGATGGGCGACGAGGGAAGACACGTTTAGCGGAGGAGATACTAAAAAATGCGAAAAACTTTATTCTTTTCCTTTTTCTTTGTATACCGCCGTATACTTCGCCGTGTTTCGACGTTATTGAATTTCGCGTTACCTTCGTTCTCGAAATACGTATGCAAGTTTTCCTCGCGGTGAAAGCGGTTTTTCTTGGCTCGATTTCTTCTTCTCGCTTCTCGAGCGTCCTGTTTGGTGTTAACGAACGCTAAACATTCGGCTCCACCGGGTACGGTGAGCGGACCGGTTCCTTTAACAAAGTAATCGAAAACGTTTGCGAAATTTGAGGCGACGCGCGGTTCGACGATCGTCACGCTCTCGTTGACGAGAAATGTCAACGCCGACATGCTGACGTGATCTTGCAAATTATATCCGACCGGAAGATCCTCGATCACGCGAACGTTCAACGACGTCAAGTGATCCTTGGGTCCCACACCGGAGAGCATCAACAATTGGGGGGAATTGAGAGTCCCTGCGAACACGTATGTAAATCCGAAGAAAAAATATAGTCGAGTCGGTTCGGTGCTTAAAAATTTAAAGGTTACGTAAATTCTGCCAGATTACCCGCTGAAACTATTATCTCTTTTCTGGCGGAAGCGAACAACTTTTTGCCATTCTTAACAAACTCGACGCCCACGACGGTTTTCGTGTTTGGATCGATCACGATCCTCGTCGCTCTCGATAATTTCGATAAATGAAAGTTGGCTCTATCGCGAATAGGCCGTAGAAACGCCTTGCTGGCACTGACCCTGTGACCATTTCTCAAATGAACCTGTGCCGTTGAAAAACCGATAAGCCTGTCGGTGTTGTAATCGATTATGTCGTAGCCCAGCTCCTCGCCGGCTCGAAGAAAACGTTCTCTCAACGGGGATACGTACGGTGAAGTGGTGACGTCGAGGTATCCGCCGCTACCATGGAATCTGATGAAAAAATTCTCCTCAAAACGGATACTCGAGGGAATCCTTTTCGAGTACCCGAGTCGTAGAAACGCAACATACGCCTCGGTATGGTTAATCGTACGGCAACCAACTCTAATTACCTAACGTCTTGATCCCGTAGTTTGCAATTTTCCGACTTGATAAAGTATGGCAACACGTCTGTATAACTCCAACCGGGATTGCCTTGCGCCGCCCAAGCGTTGTAATCGTTGGCCGATCCCCTCGAATATATCATGAAATTGACGACCGAGCTACCTCCTACCGCTCTGCCACTCGGCAGATTGCAACGGCCCTCGTTCATAGACAAACAGTAACCGCCGGTCCCGTCGGACTTTTGTGGTCTCGGTTCGCTCTTGTGCAGCCGAACGTAATCCGTGACGTGAAGAACAGGCGCCAATAGCGGAATGTCCGTGAGGAACATTTCGTCCTTACCCTCTTCTAGTAGCAACACGTTCCAACTTTGAATCTCGGTGAGACGATTCGCGAGCACGGATCCACCAGAACCAGCTCCGATCACGATGAAATCGTACTCTTGGTTCGAAACGGACGTCTCGTACGTCGTCGTCGTCGTCGTGGTCGTCGTGGTCGTTGAAAATCCAAAGAAGAATCGATACACGTTCTCCAAAATGGTTGGCGAGAAAACGCATCGCGCACGGGATAACAATAAGAACATTGCTAACAATCTCAACATTCTCCAATTCGTTGAACGATACAAGTTTACGATTATCACAGCAATTAGTAAACCATGAGACGCACAGCGACAAAAGACACTCGGATTTCAATTAAACGCTATACCGTTTGTTCGCAGTCGTCGGACCGTTCGACGAGTCGAGCAGAGACCGATTGGCTCCGCGACGCGGCGCGCTATAACCATCAAGATCGGTTTCGCTCGACCTTGGAGGATATCAACGCGGAGACTGCCATCGTCTGCGATTAGCTTACTCGACGTTTGCGATTCGAGGTATCGTTTCGATGGAATCAACAATGCCGTTCAAAGATTCTTGACAGCGTTTCAAAGGCTATCGCGACAGATGACGTGAAACGTGACGGGTATACGAGATGATTGTCGATCGTGATTCGAATCGACGCCGACGAACGCGCGCTGTCTGCCGCTGGCTAGCCAGTAAATTGTCCTCCGGAGTGACTCAAGTTTACGTATCAATGTCAACGTATCAATGACAAATTCGGTAAGATAGGTTCGCCGACCGTTAGGACGCGAGGATAAACCGTTAACGGATCCGATCGCTTTCTTCGCTTTCGTACTCGTTTGTTTCATAACTTGAAACTCGGTGTATCGACACCTTTTTACATCTCTCCTTGTTTCGATGATTGGCTCGGTGTTAAACGGGACTCGTTAGATCGTCCAAGTAGTAACGGAGCGATGCGAGATGGCCGGTTAGCAGAGTGCAATTTTTTCGCTGCACGTCGGTTGCAGCTGCCCGAACACCGAGCAATTTCGATTTCACTTTGGACCAGGTGACTGACCCAAACCGAAGAAACGGTCAACTGCACGGAGATGAATTCATCTCTCGAGGTCGTCGTGTGAAATGCTTGGGGTAAAAGTAGGGCGTCCAGCCGAATGTGATGTCACCGAACGCAGCTTGCTCAAAGACGCGCGACGCGACGCTCACCGATACGTTTGCGAATGCAACGAAACGAAAGAATGCAGTGGCCGATTCGCAGTCGTTTTGCCAGATCAGAAAAAAAACCAACTCGCTTTTTCAACGAATCATCGTTTCGCGCGTTCATTGTTATCGATCGAGATTAGCCGCTCGATTCTATACTAGGTAAAGACAAGTGACGAATATACCATACATTAGTCTCGGTCGTTCGACGGATGTTTGCGTCTCGCGAACTGGATTACCGACCTCGGTCGATGATGATGCACTTTGAAGCGCGCACTCTCTTTTTAAGAACGGTGACTTTGGAAACTCTATTCGTCCGGAACATCAAAGTCGATAAGGTTAGCGTAATCGATCATTTCGTTCTCTGACGTTTAACGCGCGAACCGAACATTTAAATCGAAAGAGAATACGTGTCGCCGTATAAGTAAGCACAACCGGCCGTGGTGTACGAAAAGATGGTAATCTAACCGCCGACCGTCCAAACTTACAGTCGTAAAATAATAAATAACGTATTATGGAGTGAATTTTGCTAACGTAAAGTAGGCGATATACACGTGAGAGGCTCGATTACGTCTACCGGATTTCGTTTCGTCGTCGAGCGACGGGGCTGCGTTCGGGCACATGCATCTTTTCGTTTGCAGTGGGCATCAACGAGGGAGTTGATTTCGTAAATTCTTACAGGAGGATCGGTCGGTCGTCGATCGAAAACTGGCAACGGATAGAATATCGAATGGCCACGGCCGCGCAGAACAAGTAGAGCGCGGCATGGCACGGCATCAGGGTGAGAAAACGAGTTACTAATCGCGAGTCTCTCGTTGGGTTGGGGCAAAATGCGCAAACGCGATAGGGCGGCGGGTAGGTATAGGGATAGGCATTTGCAGCGGCAGCGTTTGGGGATGGTTCAGGGGTGGGTTGTCAGTTTGCCGGATGGCCGTGTGAGAGCGCTGCCGCGCAAGACCAACCCTCTATTCGCGCTGCATCCGGCGAACGCGACTGTTTGCTCGCGAACCGTTGGACCCTCGACAGCGAATCGTTCGTTTCGTTTCGTTTCGTTTCGTTTCGTTTAGTTTGGTTTCGTTTAGTTTGGTTTCGGTTCGGTTCGGTTCGGTTCGGTTCGGTTCGGTTGATCGCGTCGCGTCGCGTAGGCTGGTAGCGATTCGCTGCCGTCCATCGCGTGTCGTATCGTTTCCTCGGGTTCTCGTTGGAGGTTTTCGCGCTCGCAGCCGCGAACGTGCCACGGCAGACGAGGCGAAAACTCACCGCTCACCACCTATCTCTATCGACCGCCGTCACTGACCGCTCCGTCTTTTGCTCTTTCTCCACACCTTTCGACCTCTGGCTGGCCTTCTCTTTCTCCTCTTGCCTCGTCCTTTGGATCTGGTTCGCTGTCGGTTCATCTCGATCCTCGGCTTGCCGTGTCCCTCGATCTCTTCCCCACCCTCCGTGACCCCGCGCAGTTTTGCGTAAACGCGAGCGTAAACGCGAACGCGAACGCGAACGTGAATTGGACAAAGAGGAACGCGATACTTCGCGTGGCTCCTGGCGAGCACCCGACGCCGACGGTTAATTAACGAACAAGGAAAGAAAGAGTCACCCAGCCACCGAGTATTCTCGCGGATTGAAGAGTGTGTGGTGTATTCTTTGTGGATGCTGTCGTGAGGACCGGTAGCTGGTTTGCGATGGGGGTGGCAACCAGTTTATCGGACGTGCTCGCTGCGAAAAGTCCACCGGGAAGATAATGCGGATAAATGGCCCGGAGGAGAGTAACAGAGGACGGTAACGGAGGATTACGCGCTGTCGGGTATGTGCGTTGATGCTTTCTTTCGTTATTAGTCGTTTGTTCGTCCACCGTACACTTTCTCTTGGTACCTATAGATGAAACAACACATTACGTAGACACCTGTACGGTACGTAGGTTGCGTCGATGGTTTCGCGTACATTAACTTTCCAAACGCAACGAAATTCAAACGTTGCCGTGATCAGTCTCTTTTTAAACGAGTACCGAGTCATTGACCTATCGGTTGGACGAATCGCGACGAGCATCGTAAACGTAACGAGACGATTCTCGTAGGAGATTGTCGGATACTCGTTCTTCAATGGGCTGGATCAAGTTTCAAGTAAAACGAGAGATACATAACTGTACACGTTCGTATACAGGATATTATAATATCTGGTAGCGTCGACCGAGCAAAGGACAAGTATCGCGTTTTTATTCGCATCGCGTGCGACTTGGAATATCGCTGTTTCCGACGGAATCGTTTTGTTTACCTTCTCGATGACGGGACGCGTTCTCCCGAGACGATTTCGTTTCTTAAGAATTTCCTCGCACGAAAGCCTGGACGCGAATTAATGCATGGCCAGTGGTTTCGCGCGACCGATAATCTTCATTCTCGAAGGTCACCTTTAGTTTCGTGAACGCGAACGATACGCGCGCGCCTCTTGTTTCCGAACCGTTACTCCTTTCAGCCCTGGTTCTACCTAGGCGAGATAAAGGAAAACACGGCCACGTCGCGACGTATACTTTGAATTACGAAAGCGCACGCGTGTCGAAATACTCGTGGCAAGTAGATGGGAAAAGCTGAGAAAAAGTTGCAAACACGCGTCACCAGAGAGTAGTATCGTCGATCGACCGATCTCGACCTCGGCTATAACCTCGACTCAAGGTTTCCTTTTCTTTCTCGCGAATGAAAATTACCGAGTAATGTTCGCCGTGTGCCATTCTAAAGCTCGAATTGCATTATTCACCGCTCGCGAAACGCGAGTATACGGTTGTTAAGTATACCTTTGCATCGTAGAATGACTTTGTCGCGTAACGCTAACGCTACGATGCAACGAGGAGCCCGTCCGCGTCCATCGTTCGTATCGTTACGAATCACTCGAACCACACGCTTCGTCAAAGTTGCTTAATCGATTAGCGATAATAAAAGAATCCCAGCCGATGTGTACGACCGTTACATGGACGGTTTTGATTTTGATTTAATCGAAGGTTTCGATCAGAGGAGACATCGCGTCGTTTTTTCTTCAACGGCTGCTCTACTGGAAAAACAACGCACGCGGAGATGTAAAAGAACTTTCCATTCGTGGCTATCGCCTCTCAACGATACATGTATCCTTAACGAAATTTTTACTTAACCCAATCCGAACGGTCGTCAAAGGCTCTGTATACTATATAACGGTGAATCGATCAAAGGCATGGTGTGCTTCGCAAACTGAACGTCGTCTGCAAGGTTGCAGGTGTGCGCGCAAGCGAGAGCGCACCATAAAAGATACCGGAAGGATGAAATTACAAAGCACAGCTTGCACACCGACACGACTCGACTCGACTCGACTCGACTCGACGCGACGCAACGCGACGGTGCGGTATGCGCTGATACGTGGTACACGCGTTCCCGGAATCCTGAATTTCTCGTGGTATGGGTAAGATATTATACGTGGAAGAATTAATACCGGATTGTTTGTCGCTAAACGAGAGTATACTATATAATCTACGTTTCGGAATTGCACGCCAACTTTTCGATGCGTATTTTAACGAAAGCTTCTTGACATGTGTCGTGCCATTCTCGAATTGGAATTATCTTTGTCAATCGTGTTCTCCGATATTCGTATCTATTATATACGTTGTTTATTAGTTTTTTGGGAAATTGCTCGTAAGTAGGTGTAAACGGCACGATCGTGCCGCGAATCTAGCATGAAATTCGAGCAATAGAATCGTTGGGTTAATCCGGACCGAGCCGTCTCGCGTTGGTGGCGTTCGCGTTGGCATTTTAGCCGAGAGAATCGAAAGGGCGGGACAGAGAGCGAGGAAACGAGCGTTTGAAAGCGAAGGAAAGCCTGGTGTAGAACAACGTAATAGAAAATTTATTCAGGGTTTAATCACATCGCGACAAAGACAGCATTGTTCGAGCGTGAACAATAGGGCGGTTCTGCGGGTTCGCGTAGCGGTGACTGCGAGCATTCGGTCCCATGATTCGAAACGACTCTTTGCTTTTTTGAATTCAGGTCGCCGAGCCGCGCCGCGCCGCGCCGCCGTCAACGCCGACGTATCGACGCCGCATCGTGTCAGTTCGACTCTTGGTCTCGTCCTCCTGGTTCTTCGATTTTATCAATTTATTATTTTCCGCTGCACTAGCCGTTGCCTCTTTTCGATTATCCATTTCGAAAGCTTTGCTCCGACATTTTCTCGACCAACGATCGAATAACTCCCGGTGAAAACTCCCCGTTCCTCGACTCACGTATTATTCGTCCGAGCCAATGAAAAATTAACCCACACGATCTGTACGCGCCGAAGCATTGGAATTTCCTATGGATTCCGTTCCGTTGGAAAGAGCTCGCGAGCTGGATGGTGCACAGATTCTGAGAAACTCGGTTAATGGCCAAGTTGGTGTTGGTGCACTCGAGCATTTTCTCCAAGACACAAACGTTTCGACTGCTCGTCGATACTAGTCGTCACACGAGCTACATGTTACGGAACTTTAAAGCCGATTTCCCTTAAACGAGAGCTGCTGTTGCTATTTGTGCTTCTTCCCTTCAACTTTTACACTACCGTTATCAAACAATGCAATGTTCACTCGAACCATTTTATGGCTTTTATACCATCAACAAACACTTTGAGTGTTTGGATCGTCGCAGGACAAAATAACGTTGCACTTTTCACGGTTAACGCAGTTTAATTACGTTTGTTTTTATATGAAGATAAAGTTTAAGTAACATGAGAATCGTATTCGACAAGGTTAAAAAATGTTTACGCAGCGGACGAGCCGAACGAGCCGAACGCGACCGTTGACGCGAAGCAATTGTAGCTGGCTTGCCTTAGACAGCTGTTCACCTAACCGTCCACGTCCAGCTTCGCTATCCCGACGCGTTACTTTGATGCCCGTTTCAATTACGCACACTTGACCGCAGCAACCAGCTCGATGTCTTTTAGCTCGCAAAGTGGATAGAACGGTTCGCTCGGAGCACTGCTGCAGGTTCTCGGTCTGTTTTATAATTTTCCGTAACGCTTTATGCCTCTCGTGTTTCATAATTCCAAGATTCTTAGGTCGCGTCGCATCACGTTTATTACTCGGCCGAACGTTTATCTTTGCTCGTGCTCTCGCCTTTTCATGACCCCCATAAAACAAATGAACCGTTTTTTCACTGGTAGACTGGTACGCGACTGCTAGGTTGCTCCGTGCGTTCCTTGTTCGAGGAAAGATGAAAATTTGGAAAAAGGAACCGTGCACGCGTATCGAGTACCTCCTAGCTCCTCGAGTAGCCGATCAGCTTCCGTCGCCGCACGGTATTCTCTTTCGTTCGGAAACGCGATGAGCCACGAGGAATCCTTACAAAGCCCAGAGTGGAGTTTCCCTTTGGCAAAGCGTCGATCCCGAACGCTCGGACGATCCGGAAAAGGGAGCAAAGATAGAGTGAGAGAGAAATAGGGTACGGGAGAAAGAGGAGGGAAAGTAAGTTGCCGGAGTGGCCAATGAAGGAGCCGACAGAAGGAGAGACAGGAAAGATTGCAACAAATCTCGAGCCGGACAAACTAGGGTGAAACTTGTGACGAGTTTACTTCCCTTTATCGTCAAACTGCAAACGAAAGGAAGGTACGGGAAACGTTTCATCCTGTTCGTCCAAGTGTCGACAACAAACACACATACGTGTACGACGAGAGACACCAACTAACCGAGAAACCCTCCTGTCTCTCTGATTCCCGATGAAACTTGGAAGGTTGTTACGGCAACTCCAAACACCATGTATCTCGTTTTTATCCACGGTCGTCTGATTATACAACACTGACGTTACACTCTCGACGCCGCGCGCCGGCGAGCCTCGGAGCGGTGAGTTCCGCGCGCGCGGTCTACCGCGAATCTTTCCTCACGTATGTAGTCGCCTTTCGAGCGGAATCGATGGAATAACCGTCATACGACAAACGAACGCGATACTCTCGTTAGATGTTACTAAACCAAGTACGTATGTAACTATGTACATCGTAGATCGAGCACTTGGACGGCAAGTGGCTTTCGAATAAACAAAGGCAACCTGCGATACGCAAGTTCTTTGCGGAAGAAGCTTTAAAGATGCGAACGAAGCAGGAAACGCTCCGGCCGCGACAGCGCACCGCCCGGTTCTGTTCTCTTGTGCTCTGCTCTGCGATACTTGAAAAACAACGAGTAGCGAAAACACTCGAACGTCCCTGCGTAACGGAATAAAGTACCCGGAATAAAAGCCGAGGAGAGGAGCGTAACGCGAAATATGCATCAAGGAAGGGCTCAAAGATGCGCTCGCATTTCATCCAGCTTGGTTACTCACGGATACTATGCCCATTCTTCCTGAAAAGCAACTTTGGTCGAAGCAACTTTGGTTATCTCCTCTACGAAACAACATTTTTTTCAAGCTTGTAATCGTCTTTTCGAAATAATTAAATTCATTTATAAGTTTCTCGCTGCGAGTGCCGATTAGGTTTGTGTGTGTGTGCTGTCGCGTACTGATCGACTACAACTATCCCTTAGACTTTAGACTCTCCGGAAAAGTCTGGAACGCTCGCGTAATTTTACGAACAAGTTACAGGAAACTCTGCTTCTCCCTCGGCCCCTTTCTCGGGTTTTCAGTTTTATAACGAACGTTGCGTTGTAATTTCGTTTAAACGAATTTAAATGTCAGTGAAACCGTCGAACCGTTGTAACCGTTGTAAGCTACTTTCAGTTGCATCTTACTCCATTTTCGCCCAACACCTTCAACACCTTTCTCTTGGAGCAAAAATATTTAACCAAGATCTTGTTGTTATTATTAGCGGTTTACGGCATTAAAATTCATCGAGTG